TCTTTGCAGAACAAATCGTACTTTTGTATCTTCTCCCCTATATTTGTGTCTCTGAAAAGTAACTGTGCTGGTGGTCTTACTACTTGTAAGGAAAGGGAAATATTCCAGAAACAAAAAGAGATCTTTTGTCTGTGCCACAAGGATCTCCCTCCCTCCTACCATCCAGTTAGCATTTTCAGGGGGAAGAAGTTATATATAAATGCCAGTTTTATTTCAAAGAAAAATAAGATTGGAGTTATTATGGACTTCTTATTAAAGCTGGGCAGAGGCAACAGATGGAGTGACAAGCAGCACCGTGCCTCTGGGTGGGCCTCTGGGTGGGCCGGGTGAGGAAACTGAAGACTACAGGAATCAGCTGATTGGGATGCAGGGTTGCAGGAAGGGCACTGATCATCTGACCCTGAAAACCAGAAACTAGAGGAAATTCATATGCCCCTTTGCTGAATTTGGAAAGAATTTTTTTTTCTTCTCACAGGGAAACTTTGGCACAAATGATAGAAGAAAATTTGAACTGTCTTGGCCATTTAAGCACTATTATTCATGAAGTAAATGAGGAACAGAGTGGTAGGATGATGGTAAGTTTTATATGGATATGGATGTGTGTTTTAGGTATACAGGTGCAAAGGGTTTAACTTTCCGTGGTAGCCTTACCTGGCATATGGGGTGCGTGTGGGGAATAGAAGAACACAGAGGAAAGAGAAGGCTTTTGAGGAATATCCTTGACCTCAAATCCCCATCCTCTCTTACTCATAGATGTAGTAGGATTATGTCATCAGTAATTTTCAGCAGTAGCACTTGTGGTCAAATGAAATGATTGATGAGCTTTCTTTGTAACATGACCACTGAAATTGGATGGTTTGTACCTTTTTGCTTTGACAGTCAATTTTCTCGAGTGGGGTGGGATTTATATCATAATTCCAGCTCATTAACTGCTATGTATAAAATGAATATTGTTAATATAGTTTTAATTAATTACTGTGAATTACTGATTTGTTAAAACTTGGAGAAACAACAAAATTAAAAAACTGGATTAACTTCTCTACATTAAGTCTCAATGTCAACTCTTTGTATCTCCTTTTCCATTATTCAAATATTTATGAAAACTCTGAAATATTTTTTAATTAGCAGAAAATAAGGTAAACTCAACTCTAATTGCAACTTATGCTCTTAATTGATTAACTTTTTACTATAAAATGTCCAAACATACAGAAAACTTATAAAAATTAAGACTTATAAGCCTACCACTTATAGTTAACATCTAACTGTAATCTTTTCATACCTGGTTTTAGAATCTTGATTGGAGTTGGTTAACAGAATGACTTGCCACTTACTCACTGTCCCCAAACCAATGGAAGTTGTTGCTGTATATGTTCGAAATTTGTTTTCTCCCATGAAACCATTCTTCAGACACCATTCATTGGAAGAAATGGCTGTGATCAAAAACTACTCATGGTTTTACAAGGGCAATATTTTGGCTTTGGGTAATTTTAACCTCTAAACAGATAGAATTTTATGTTTGTGAACTTGTTTAAATACTACAGCTACTTAGGCAAATCGTTGCAATTTATTTAACTTTAAACTTGGTAAAACATTACCTATTTAACCGACTAAAAGTACCTTTTAACATTTAACTGTGGCATAAGGCCTAAAGTAATATATACAGAGGAGAAAACACCCACTAACATGTGTTCTAAGTAAATGTTGTCTGCCTGTGTTTCTGTGACGGAGACTGCTCGCAAGAAAAATTGTACCTCTTGAAGAAAAAACCCTACCTCCTCGTATTGCACTCAGCAGTGCTCTTTCTGGCATCGTAAGGAGTTGGGTCAGTCCCATTTTTAATTTCATTGCACACTTGACAATGTTCCTTTCCTACAGAAGGGACTGTTCATCTTTGCTTTTAATACCAGTGGACTGTCATAAGTGTGCTATGTGTATATATTTAAGATGTACATTTAGTAATATCAAAGAGAAGATGTCTGTTAATTTATAATGTATTTGAAAGCGTATATGTCTTTTCATTTGTAAAAATGGGTCATTTGTTTCAGGAATCTTTCATGTCTCATCATACAAATACATAAAGGTCTGTACTCTTACCTGTAGTTCCAAAATCCAAAAAGCTCTGAAAACAAGGTTTTTCATAAGCTTGGTGACAAAAGTCATCTGCCTGCAAATCTAATCTGAACTGACAGTTCGATCTACTTATCCCATTTAGTGTGAATATCCATTTATTTTGCTGTAGACATATTAACATGTTTGATTATTTGGGGGCAGGACAGGCTGTTGCCACAGACCCTGATGGGTGTTTATATAATTTGGTATATGCACTGAATTACCTTTGGAAAAAATCTGAAAATTTCATAATTCTGAAACATCTGGCTCTAACGATTTCACATAAAGGATTGTGGCTTTATCAACTATTAAGTAATTTAGAAGATACTTGTTTTTTAAAAATGTGAAATGCTTTTGTATTATAGTTTTTCACTTTGTGTATTAAATGATTTTTAAATTACTTTTGCCTCTCTGATCATTAAAATCAGATGAATGTAGTTGACCCTGTAACTACACAGGGGTTAGGGGCATCAATTCCCCACACAGTTAAAAATCTGTGTATCACTTTAGCCTCTATAGTTGGTCCCTCACATCTGTGAGTTCAACCAGTGGAAGTTGGGAATGCAAAAATACTGTTTTTTGCAGCTGGTTGAATCTGCAGGCACGAAAATACCAAATAAGAAGAGCTGACGATTTTTCTTTGAAACTATGTATAAGTGGACCTACACAGTTCAAACCTGTGTTGTTCAAGAGCCAACTGTAGTTGAATATGGTTTGGGAGAATGTGAAGGTTCCATGAAGTGGAATTGGCATACAGAACAACACAATGGTCTCTCACTGTACTTTCCTTAGGAGTTATACAGGACTTACAGTAAAGACACTGTTGGGCCTTTTTCAACTGAGATTTCCTATGAGCGTGTCTAAAAGCCACGCTCATACCTTGCCCTAATAAACTAATGTCTTAGTCACACCATCTCCTTTTTGCTTGTAGTGTCATTTTCCTGTTCATCAAAATTCGAAAGCTTGCGCTTGACTTCTAACATTTTAGTCATCTGATCCTACTGTTGTTTAAATAGAGAAATTTGACTGTAAGCTGTTACAAAAGGCAGTTTCGCTCTTGCTTCTCCACTTCTAGGTCTTAGACAAGAAACATTTATTGGGTACCTGTTGTTTGGAAGATACTGTGCTAGATGGCAAAACCAGAAGTAGGTAACACAGTACAGTAAGATAGAATACTTATCTGGGAGTCTGAACACAAAGCCATCAAAAGCATTGAAGTTATTGTTAAAGGATTTTAAAAATTATCATATATTTTCTAAATATTGTAATAACTGATAAAAAGGTTTGCTGTAGAGTGGAGCCATCTGTGTTGTGTGGCTGGGGTGATAGACAACAGATTAGCCTGATCAAGGTGGCGTGAGTCAGAACAAATTAGGACAATAAGATCACCTCAGACTTGCTTCTGATGCAGTAGTTGACCACTCTATTTTTTTGTTGGGTTACAGATTTTTAGAGTTGAATGGCATTTGTGAGTTGTATACATGTCTTATCTAAATTAAGCACTATGGAAAACTAAGAATCCATCCAGAAAACAGGCTAGAACAAATTGTTTTTCATTATTTTTGCTTTTTGGAAGATAAAATTGGTAAGCTCTGCAAATATCATTTATGTGCAAGAGACAAGATCCCAGACACTCCTAAGTAATAAAAGGCAAAGGTAAATACAGGTAAATGCATTTATTGAAGGTAGAGGGTAGAGTGGTATGGGAGGGTTTGCTTTAACGAAGACGAAGTCTATTTACGACTTCCCATTTCCACAGTTACCACCATTGTAACTTTGGGCCTGTAGTTTCTAACCACTTGCCTTCCCTGCCTCTAATCTGTCTCCACTCTGAACCAGTTTGCAAAATCACTGGCCCTAAAGCACTGCTTTCCCACTTCTCTGCCCAGGAGGTCAGAGCCCTCCTACCCTAGTCTACTTGTCCAGTCACAGTCCCACTGCTGTACTTTGAAGGCTTACGGTAACCATTACTGCCCAACCTACTCTAATATGCTGCCCTTATTGCCCTTGTATTTGTCCGTCTCCAACCTCTACTCTAACTTTGTCCTTTTTGTTTTGGGTATTATATGCACTTGACGCATATTTTTAAAAAACAAGAATATGCAGTAAAAAGAAAGTCTGTCTCTTCTCTAGCCATCCAGTACTCTTACCTGCAGAAAAGGTGCATTGAGCCTTTCAAAACTTGGGCATACTCTACCATCCCATTCTTTTCCAGCATACCGGCTTCAGGGAGGCTCAGAAATGCTACTCTTTTTCGTTTTCCTAGAGGACCCGTTCCTATTGTCTGGATGGCCCTTGGCAGATAAGCATTCCGGCACTTTAATAGGTGCTCAGAACTTGATTGGATACTTTATTCTTTGAACTTCCACTTTACTTGGAACAATTCTGGCTGCTCCAGAAGCATATGCTTGCCCCATAGGGTTCGCTATAAACCACAAAAGGACAAAAAGGAACAGCTACCACACTGAGTGAAGGAGTGAGCGTGAGCAAGAACAAACTGACCAGTTCCTTTTCTCCAGAGGCCCTCTCCTTCCTCTGTATGCCTGCTTGCTCTAGATTAACTACTACTCTTCCTGAACGGGAAACCACCAGCGCACAGCTCAGAGCCCACGCACTTTCGCGGGAAGACGCGCAGCAGGCTACAGGGAGAATTTTGACCCGTCCGCTCCCCGTCTCCTAAATCGCGTGCGAGCTCTGCGTCGACGTGCGTGACCGCGCAGCCGCAGAACTAGACGAGTAGGCGGGGCCGGCGGGTGGCGGTGGTTAGTGCGGTGGGGAAGTGGCTGCACGTGCCAGTGGGGGCGATGCGTCACTGATCCGCGTGGTGCGGTGGAGGGTCGGCCTCCCTTCGGACCTGTAGCTGGCCTGGTTCTTAGTTAGTATCGTCTCCCTCGGGAGCAGCCGTGGTGGGGGGGGCGGGTGTCACGACGCTTACCGAGCAAGGGTGACTTGCGGGCCTCCTCCGGCAGAGGGGTTATCAAGGGGGAAAAGGGTTTGGAGAGACGGAATGAAGCGGGGGAAAAGGCGTATAGGACTCCCCGGCTGGCGTGCAGAAGGGAGCCAGTTGTCCGGACGCAGAGGGTGGAAATCAGGGAGGGTAGGCATGTCTCTCACGAGGTTGGGGGTCCTTTCCTCCCTTATTCAGGAGAAACAAGAATGAATATGACTCAAGTCCGGGTTCTGGTGGTCGCAGTGGTGGGTCTGGTGGTCGTTGTTCTTTACGCCTCCATCCACAAGATCGAGGAAGGACACCTGGCCGTGTACTACAGGTGAGCAGCTTGTGCAGTCAGCTCAGGTTCTAGAGCAGATAGAAGGAAGACTCCCGGTGGAATGGCGTCTGGGAAGTAGTGTCTTCTCCAGCATTGTGGAGCTCCCCAAAAATGAAGGCAGGCAGGCAGGCAGGCAGTGGTTCCTCCATCTGTAACTGAAGAGATGGGTAAGTCATTGTTGTATTTCATATAACTGGGCAGGGTTTTAGTTTGAGATTCATATGCTGTTTAGAAACTTTGGTCGTATTTGTGATGGTTCTTTAGATTTTCATTTTCCCTTTGAAAGCACGTAGTGTTTGGGTTTGGCTTATAAGGCCGGAACATGATGGCCGTGACAGTTCTTGTATCTCTGGACCTCCAGACACATAAAAACAGCATTGATGGGCCACCCTTATTTTACCCTACCCCCGTTTTTCAGGTTGAGAAAAGGAATGGTATGGAATACGTTGCCCTCTAGTTGAGCGCAGATAGCTTTTTCCTCATTTTGGTGCCACCAAAATGGTGTCTCCTTTTGACAGAGAGAGGACAGTCTGGAGAAATTGCTATAATGATGTATTTGAAAGGGCCTCAATTTTTAGCTTGTTTCCATCATCCCCCCAAAGTGATATTTCTACTTTTAAATCCACCCTGAGTCTTAGAAATAGTCTTCTTCGTGAAACACCAGTTTCAGATGTGGTTTTAGTGATATGTTGTAGGAGATGGAGGTATAGCATAAAAGACAAATTAGTTCGGCATTACCTAACTGGTAGTAAAACCAAGGAAAGAACTTTGCAAGGTAAGGATGGACCTTGAACAGTTTGTTTTTTTCTTAGTTATTTGTTATGAATTCTTTGCAGGCTATCTATATTTTCAAATAGAAAGCTAAGTTCTATGAAGTTACTCTTCAACAGGTAGAATAGGACTTCTTTTTAATGTTTGCCTCCATAGTGCCTCTTTTTTTTTTTTTTATCACTTCCAAGATGCTGTAGTTCTCATGTTCAGAATTTGGTGAACAAGTCCATGATACTCTCTACTTACAGCCTTACTCTACTCCATTCCTTCACCTTTTATCTTTCCATGTTAATTTTTAAAATGTTTAAATATGCCCCCAGTATTTTAATTGCTTTATAGGTAGCTTAAAAGAATCTTGAACCTCAGAGATTTTCCCTTCCTTTCTTCTTCCGTGTTATCTTTTATTTTTATTTTTTATAAAATTTTTTATCATTGTTCAGTTACAGTTGTCCCTCCTTTTTCCCATTGGCTCTACCCTGCTTCGGCGTTATCTTCTTTTTTCAGTCTGGTGATTAAATATATTAGGGTTTGAACTGGCTCATGTTATGCACAATTAAAACACAGCGACTAAGAGCCATTAGAACTTTTTTTACAGATATTTCTCAGACAGTTAAAGACCAACGAAAGTCCTTTGTGTCTGGAGACCCAGAGGTGTGGTTGGTCCAGCTTACGAAACAAGGTGTAACATTAGTTTAATGTGATTTTTTTTTTTTTACCTCCTTAGCTGCGGTAGGTATTTTAGGGATCAGCAGTTGTTCATCATTAGTAATTCGTGTTAGTGAGGCTTTTATAGGTCATTAGCATGAGTAAGAATGAATACTTAGTAGTAGTATTTTAGATTTGAAAAGAGAATTTCTCTCCTTATAATCTTGTCAAATTGAAACATCTTTTTGCAGGGGAGGAGCTTTACTAACTAGCCCCAGTGGACCAGGCTATCATATCATGTTGCCTTTCATTACTACGTTCAGATCTGTGCAGGTGAGTGATTTCTAGGGAAGCCCCTACACTGGAAAGACAGGTGTGACAGGAACAGTTGCCACATTTGTGGGTGGAGATAGATTTCCTTATTACTCAAAGCAAAGGTGGTATTTATTTAAACGCAAGAGTTAAATTACAGAGTATAGGTTACACTTTTGAACCACCTCACCCTCTTGAAATATATTAAAAGTAAGAGCTAGGCACCTTGGAGAAACTGACTTCTTACATCTGTATAATGCTATGCAGCAAGCCTTCTGCTGTCAAAATGAAAGCAGGACTTCAGAACACTCGAAATGCAAACCGGTGATTACTTGGCTTAAAACCGTGTTCGGTTTCCATAGAGGCAAGCTCCTGGACTACTGTGAGCATGGAAGATCTGAATTTTCATACACAGCTTTCCTGCCTCATATTTTTGCCTGGGACATTAAGCATTATTTGATGTGGACCTTTAGAGAGTGTTCTATTTTGATAACATTCCAGAATTTTTAAAGTAGCATCTTATGGAGAACAGTATCCTGGCTATGGGAGACACTTGATAATTACCTGTTGACATAACAAGATGACAAAATAGGGTTAGATTATGACTACTTTTGTAAACTCAGTGGGGTCATAAATCTCTGGATTTGGAAGTTTGTCTTCTATCTGCTGTTTTTTCAGGAGTGAGGAAAATTTAATATATTTAATCTTAAAATTTAAGTCTAGGCTTCTTGCTAAGTGAGAATTTTCATTTCAATTTGTTTTTAGATGGTTTATCTAAACCATCTAGATGGTTTTGTATCTTGAAGTGAGATGTGTTCTCCCTTTAGTCAGACTAATTTCCATGTTGTTTTCCCATATTTATTTTATCCACTCTGGCCTTTGTTCTTGCTGTCACTGTTCTCTCCCCACCTTTCCCTTTATTTCCTCTGTTCTTTCTCAGTCTTTCCAGCCTTTTAAGGCTCATTGCAAATCCCTCTTCTAATCTATAGCTCTGAAGTCTGTATTGTAAATTGTGGCCTTTGGCCTTATTCTTATTCTTTTATTAATGTTGTATTGTTTTCTAAGTTTTTCGTGTGTATTTTCTTTCCAGAAAATTTCCAAGCTTCTTGAAGGCAGGGATTGTAACCCATTTATATCTCTGACCTTTCTACTTGTGAAAGTTGTTAAATTGAGCTGATTTCTCAGGAAGCAGTATGGTAGAATGAACTTGGGACAAGAAACCTGGAGACTTAGGTTCTGGTTCTGACACCAATTAATTGCATGACTTTGCAAAAATCACTTCACTGCTGTAGACTTCAGTTATTCCTCTGTGAAAGAAGAAGTTTTAATTACGTGATCTCACCAACAGCCCAAACAGTTTATAATGATGTTACCAATTGCACCATCAGACCCTTAGAGATTAGGGGCTTTTTTAGATTCGTTCAGTGCCAGGCATATCTCCTCTGCCTTCTTGGAGCTTAGTATGTTAACTCATACTGATGCAGAGATACATAGAAGAACTGTAGGTGATAAACATTAAATAGGTTTTAGAGTTGCACATGTAATAAATACAACGTATATTATATATGTACATACATATGTTGTAATAAAATATAATACAAGAAATGGAAAGGAAATTAGTAAAGAGTTTCAGTGTAAACAAATATACTTTGCATTTACAAAAAAATTGAATGATGACTAAATAGGAGTGTTTTTTAATATGTGAAACAGTAACATTCTAGGAAAGAATTATATTAAGACCATTTTAAGAAATTATTCTAATATGCATGAAACAAAAAATTTATATGAATTTTTAGAGCACAATAGAAGACATACATAGCCTTCTGTGTTGTTGTGGAGTGTGGAAATTGAATTTCGTTAATGTTTTGAGGAACTGTCATAAAATGAACTCATCTCCTCATCAACTGCTCACTCTACCTAGAACCCGTCACTGTGTTTGCCACTGCCCTAATCTCTCAACCCTAGAGTTAGATTGTTTTCCTTCCTGGAGTTTTATATGCAGCCAGTTATTAAATCATTTCTCTGTTATGTCTCCTGGATTGACAGCTTTTAATTTCCATGCACTTTACTAAATCAACCCAAATAAATAAATACTTTAGCTTCCCAGCTTGTTTTCTTGCCTCTAAATATGATGGATACTGAGAAGCACACCACATATGAGCAAAGGAATTAAGGGAAAAAACATGTTTTTGAAAGGTTTATTTTGTGGCTGTATACAAGGTGGACTAGGGAGAGCCCAAGTCCCATTCCCCACTCCCCCTTCTGCCCACCAATGTGCAAGGCCCTCTACGTGATACCATGTTGTGTGCTCAGGATTTCAACTTTATCTGTATTGCCCCTTCTGCCTTAGGCAAGCCAGTCTGCTTCCTGTCACTTGTACCAATACAGTTTATCCTCACCTTTGCGTATTTGAATAGGATATTCCTCTGCCTCATCTGTTTTTATTTCTCCTTCTCTAGATCTGGCTTGGAAATGCTTCACTTCTGAGAGCTTTTCAATCTATCATTTTATGTCTGTCTCTTAATATCTTAACAAGTCACTTTATACTTTGTTATTTTGTACCTGTTATAGTTTGGTTTGTAAGGATTTTATCTCCTGTGTTGGATAGTGAACTGTGGAAACGGGGACCATAACAGGTCCTGTATTCCATAAAGCAATATGGAATGGAATACAGGAGGTATTCCATAAAGCAATATGCTGCTGTGTTGCTTAATAAGGTGCAATGTGTCTAGATGTACTCATTAGGTATTCACCTGTTGGAGGCCTTGGAATGCAGTACGAATCATTGTGGATCCAGACAAAGTGGCAGAGTAATTAAGTGCCAGGTGGTTGGTTCACTGTAAGGGAGTAGTGCTGTGGTGGCACTTCTGTTAAAAAGGAAATCGAGCAAACCATTTGAGACATCGCTAGGGCCTGAACTGAAATATTGACTATAACTTTTTGAGAAGATTGCTATTCATTTCAAAGTTACCTTTGAGTTTTAGGCTACTTGTATGCATTTAATACTTATCTTTTACCTTATTATAAGCAGTAATATTAGCAATGGAATCAAAGTTCAGAGCACAGGTCTTCATGGTAGTATCCTTGTGGGTAAGCCTTGTAGTTGTAATCCTAGGCTGTCTCCAGGCAGATAAGGGACTCTGAGAGGTCGAACACTGAATCTTTCTATCCTGAGTCAAGCATTAGTTATAAACTATTTTGTCTCAAAGCTTTCATGTCCACCAGGATAAAAAGAAATTAGCTTTGATAGCAGATCTTTGGTGACTAAAATTGTAATGGAGCTCTTCTGTACTTACCTCTGAGTAGTTCTCCAGAGGTTTTCCTCTGGGACTGGTAGTTCTTCCACGCTATGTGTCCTGAGTGTTGATGAGATATTTTTTCCTCCCCAGACAACACTACAAACCGATGAAGTTAAAAATGTGCCTTGTGGGACAAGGTAAGCTTTCCCCTCACTAACCATCCTCCCTTTAGTTCGGATGGAGTTTCTCTTTGTAAGCTGTGGTCACTTAAAATCTTTTCAAGGGGGCATGAAAGTATTGGGTTGGCCAAAAAGTCCATTTAGGTTTTTCTGTAAAATAAAAGACGCATTTTTCATTTTCACCAATAACTTTATTGATATGGGTATTTTGAGTATGTTGGCTCTCTCCTGCCATTGGCTTCTAATGGGTGGAGGCCAGGGCTGCTGCTAAATATCTTCCAGTGCATAAGACAGCCCCACAGCAAAGAATTACTTGGCCAGAATGTCAATAGTATGAAGAAACTTCGCAAACCACTTTTGACACATTCAGTCACAGCACCTTCTCCAAACACTGCACAAATCTTTTTTTGCATTTCAGTTTCATTTTTACTTTTCTTAAAATAATAAAGCATAATACTCTTAAAATGTGTTATCTTCCACCATCTTTGATATTAAAATGGCTGCACAAAAATTTAACCAATTTTGATTTTTTTTAAATGCTGATGTGATAGCCATCCCAGTACCATCTAATAAAATGTTTTTGAATTAAGTTAAAGACAGCTAAGCACTGCTAGAGCCTTTGTACGGAAAAAACGTAACAAACTTTGTGGCCAACTCAATAACTCCAGGAGGTTCCTCTTCTGAGCGTTATTTGAGGAAAGCCCTATCTCCCAATAGGAGCTTTCCATTTGGGGAGCCATTAAGGTGTTACTGAAAAGAACCAGCAGACCTGACTTTGTGTATCAGCACTACCCTGTCTGCTTTATTGAGTTTTTTTTTACCTGAGACTATTTTTAGACCACTTTTAGGTTTGTAGCTACATGGAACAGAAACTATAGAGTTTCCCATATATTCTTTGCTGCCACACATTCCTTTATTGACTTTGTTAAGCTCAGTTTCCTCCTTTGTAAAAATTAGATAATAAAACCTATCTTTTGGAGTTATTCTAAGGAATAGAATTACTTTATATAAAGTGCCTAACCCAGCACTTAATCCAGATTAAGTGCTCAGTAACTGATAGTTTACTTCAGAAGGCTAGGAAGTATAGGAAGCTGCTAATTAACAAGACCTGTCTTTCTAGAATGTCAGTTTGATTTCAGGAAGAAAATTTTTTAATTATTTTTTATTGATTATGCTATTGCTGTTATCCCAGTTTTTCCCTCTTTGTTCCCTTCCACCTTCCACTCCCTCAGGCCATCCACACACTATTGTTCATGTCCACGGGTCATGCATATCAGTTCTTTGGCTTCTCCATTTCCTATACTGTACTTTACATGGTTATGCTGTAACCACCTATTTGCACTTCTTAATCCCCTCACATCTTCACCCATTCCCTCACACCCCTTTCCCATCTAGCAACCATTAAAATGGCTCTGTTTCTATGATTCTGTCTCTGTTCTTGTTTGCTTAGTTTGTTTTTTAGATTCAATTTTTGATAGATTTCTATTTTTTGCCATTTTATTGTTCATAGTTTTGCTCTTTTTCTTAAATAAGTTCCTTTAACATTTTATATAATAATGATTTGGTGATGATGAACTCCTTTAGTTGGGAAGCTTTATCTGCCCTTTGATTCTAAATGATGGCTTTGTTGGGTAGAGCAATCTTGGCTGTAGGTCCCCACTTTCAAAGCCAATATTCATGACTTTGAATATTTCTTGCCAGTCCCTTCTAGCTGCAAAGTTTCTTTTGAGAAATCAGCTGACAGTCTTATGGGAGCTCCCCTGTAGTAACTAACTGCTTTTCTCTTGCTGCTTATAAGATTCTCTCTTTATCTTTAACCTTTGGCATTTTATTTTTATTTTTTAAAGATTTTACTTACTTATTTAGACAGGGGGGAAGGGAGGGAGAAAGAGAGGGAGAGAAACATCAGCATGTGGTTGTCTCTTGCTATACCTCCTATTAGAGACCTGGCCCGCAACCCAGGCATGTGCCCTGACTGGGAATCAAACTGATGACCCTTTGGTTCACAGGTCACTCAACCACCAAGCCACACCAGCCAGGGCAACTTCTGGCATTTTAATTATGATGTGTTTTGGAATGGGCCTCTGTGCATCCATCATGTTTGGAACTTTCTGTGCTTCATGGATTTGCATCTCTCTTTCCTTTACTATTTTAGAGAAGTTTTCTTTCATTATTTTTTCAAATCGATTTCCAATTTCTTGTTCTTTCTCTTCTTCTGGTGCCCCCGTGATGTGAATGTTGGAATACTTGAAGTTGTCCCAGAGGCTGCTTACACTATGCTCATTTTAGGGGCTTCTTTTCTCTTCTTGCTGTTCTGATTGGTGGTTTTTTGCTTCCTTATGTTCGAAATCGTTGATTTGTTTCTTGGCTTCATTCACTCCACTATTGTTTCCCTATAAACTGGTTTTTATTTCAATTAGTGTGTCTTTCGTTTCTGACTGGATCTTTTTCATGTTGCTGAGGTGTTCACTGGATCTTTTTCATGTTGCTGAGGTGTTCACTAAGTTCCTTGATCATCCTCATAACAGTGTTTTGAATCTGCATCTGATGGATTGCTTATCTCCATTTCATACAGCTTTTTTTTCTGGAGTTTTGATCTGTTCTTTTATGTGAGCAAGGTTTGTCTCCTTGTTTTGGCAGCCTCCCTGTGTTTCTGTGTATTAGGTAGAGCTGCTTTGACTCTGTTTCCTGGTCGTGTGGCCTAATGTGGTTAGGTATCCTGTAGAGTCTAGTGGCACAGCCTTGCCTGTTACCCAAGCTGCACCCTTCTTGTGGTTGAGTACACCCTCCTCTTGTAGTTGATTGTTGTTGGCAGATCACTGGAAGGGATTTTTCCTAGGCTAGTCAGCTGCAGGGATTGGCTGTGGCCACTTACCATCAGCCTCCATGGAGGATCAGCTGTGCAGGAGCAGGGTGGTGGTGCTTCGACATGTCTGTAGCTGTACCCTGGGTGTACAGGCCCTGGGGTTTACTGGGAGGTGCAGGCCAAGGTCAGCCCCCACCCGTGTTTTTCTCAGGGCCACCCTGCCTGAGTTATAAAGCAGTCTGAGATGGCCGATACTCATGCTGGGCTTGGAGATTCCCAGGGGAAGCCACGTTGTGAATCTAGGCTGGATGCTGCTAGTCCCGGGCTTGGGACTCACAGAGGCCAGCTCTTGCTTGTTTGAGAGCATTTAAGGAAGTTGTGCAGTATGAGCTGAGACCAGCCATTCGTATGGAAAAGCAGTTTGGGTGTACCTGTAAGTTGGGTGGAGTGGAGTCTCTGGGCATCTCCAAGGTGGGTCAGACAGTATTAGCCAGGTTGATGGAGTCTCAGATATGGCATCAGCTTGTCAGCTCTGTGGCTCTGGTGTGGGGGAGGGTTTAGAAAAGGGAAAGTGGCTTCTGATTGCCTTGATACCACATACTTCAGCCTCTCCCAGTATACCACTGGTGCCTTTCATGCTGCCATCCTGATGCTGGAGCTCAGAGGGAGTGAGTCTAAGTAGGTGAGTTCTGTGTGTGGGTTCTTTCACAGGAACCTCTTGGAAGCTGCAGCAGTTTCTTCCACCAACTCAATCCCTGCTCGTTTTTGCAGCAGAAGTTGAGGGGACTTAATCTTCCTGGCACTGGAACCTTGGGCTGGGACTCCTCAGTCCTGAGATAGCCCTCTTGAATTTTATCCCTCTGGCCTGTTGCATGTCTGCACCCCTCCTACCAGTCTGGGTGGATGTGGTTTCTTTAATTTTGTAGTTGTCAGACTTTCCATTCAACTTGTTGTCTGGTGGTGCTGAGTGATGGTTGTTCTGTGTTCTAGTTGTAGTTTTGATGTGGTTGTACAAAGAGGCAAGTCCTATTTGTCTATGCCTCCATCTTGACCAGAAGTCCAGAAAAATTGTTTTCATACTAGAAAAATATGGGTAAAACACAGCTAAAAGCTATTGATGAATTATTAAGATAAGACAGGAAACCAAAAGAATTTTAGACAGTGGCTTGACTATATGTCTTGAGGAACCAATTGTTGATTTCTTGAAGGATGACTTTGAGAAGACCACTGCTTTATTTATTGGCTTCAGTCAATAAGGGCAAAATGCTAAGTAGCTTTAGGTTATAGGTTTAGTCTTCATGTGAACAGGACAGAGGTGAACCTTTGTTATGAGAGGAACTAGGTGAGTATGTATGAAGTTATTTGAGTAGTGGTTAGTGGAGTCATTTTAATCAGTATATGCCTTAAGATTTTCCTTCTAAATTTTATTGTCTGTTATATGTTTAATGTTCTGGGATTATAATAGATTTGTATTTGGCTTACACTTTTTCCTTTTTTATTTTTATTTTTATTTTTTTAGTGGTGGGGTCATGATCTATATTGACCGAATAGAAGTGGTTAATATGTTGGCTCCTTATGCAGGTAGAGTACCAATCTTTTCTGTTGTTTTTATAGTTGTAATCAGAGTATTTATAACTTAATACTACATAGAGATTCCCCAGCAAATAGAAAGGTACTTTGAAAGTTTTATGATCTCATTTACTTCTTATATGTCTAAAAAAATAATCTCTGGAATATTTTCCATTTCCAGGGAATGGTGGCAGAAATAGGTCACAAGTCTTGGCCAAAGTTGACTTTGTGCAACTGTATGGTTTACACTTTGTTTTTAAAGAACAGGACAGTCAAGAATTTCTCCAAAGTAGCATTTTATGCAGTTAGGATGAGATAATTTCCATGCATGCTAAAAATCTATAATTGATTAATTCCCAGTCACATTTATTTGTGACCATAGAAAAATCTTTTCCGGTTTAGATTTAGTGTAACTTGCAAAGCAGTCTGAAAGTCTTTGGTGTGGGGAAACATTTTCAGGGTAAAGATGAAAACCCACGGAGACGGAGTGGATACTGTTAAAAAACTTAATTAGTGGTGAAGAAAATCTGCCTTTTTGTTGTTAGATCCCTCCCCCCCAATTTTTTTTGTGGCAAAATACACATAAATGATCTTAGCCCTTTTTTAAATGTACAGTTCAGTGATATTAATAAATACATTCACATTGTTATGCAACTGTCACCAACTCGTCTTCATAATTTTTTTCATCTTGCAAAACTGAAACTCTGTACCTCCCCATCGAACGGTAACTCCCCACCTCCCTGTCCAGCCCCTGGCAGCCACCGCTGTACTTTCTGTCTCTGAGTCTAACTGCTCTGAGTATTTCATATAAGTGGAATCATACGGTATTTGCCTTTCTGTGGCTGGCTTATTTCAGTTAGCATGAAGTTCTCAAGGTTCATCCATGTCGTAGCATATATCAGAAAGTCCTTTTTAAGGCTGAATAAATACTACTGCATCGTATGTATATACCCTGTTTTGTTTATCCATTCACCCATCGGTGGGCACTTGGGTTGCCTCCACATTTCAGCTGTTGTCAATAATGCTGCTGTGAACATGGGTGTACACGGGTCTCTTCAGGACCCGTGCATCTGTTTTCCCCATTTATCTTTATTAAAATTGGCATGCCTAGTGTGGGGTCCAACCTTTTGGTGTCTCTGGGCCACACATTAAATACATTGGGACACATAATCACAAAAAAACTCATAATATTTTAAGTAAATTTATGATTTTGTGTGGGCCACATGCAGGCTGCGGCTTGGACACCGGCCCTGAGGGGGTTTTATTTTACTTCAGATGTGATACCAAATGTATATTGGAATGTGAGGTCATGCTAAATTTCATGTCACAGGAACAGGCAGAAAGAGCAAAAGGATTTCAGAGCAGAGAGCAAACCATATCATGGCCTGGTGGGTTTGGATTATATTTTTCAGTGATTATTTCCCTTGTCTTTTTTAATCTACTTTCCCTGGTAACAAATCAGTGGAATGGATTATGATTGGAAAAATAGAAGAAGGAGAGATTGCTGTTCTCTTGCCAGAGATAAAGAGGAAACTATTGGATTACCAATTCATTTGGAAATGACCAAGCAAATGGTGAATTAGCATTGATTTAGCAATGCTAATGAATTAGCAAGTATTTATTGATGTCCAGTCTATCAGGGGAAGGCCAGTGGAGAAAATTCTTGGGTCCAATGGGAGAAAACAGCATGTTTTTTTAATTTTTTACTTTTAAATTACAGTTAACGTGCAGTATAAGTTCTAGGTTTACAACCCAGTGATTAGACATTTATATAAGTTACAAAGGGATCACCTCGATAAAGCTAGGGCCCATCGACACCACACAAACTACAGTTATTTCAGTATTGACTGTATTCTCCATGCTGAACTTTACATCCCAATGACAGTTACATCACTGCCAAGTTGTACTAATCCCTTCACCTTTTTCATCCGGCCTCCTAACCCCCATATTTTAATGGGTAAAGCACAGGTCCCAGCATGGTCTAGTGTGTGCCCTTAGGCACATTTCTGAAATCCTCTGTTTCTCAGTTTCCTCAGTTAGATTTTTTTGGTGAGAATTAAATGCTTATGTATGTAAATTGCCTGACATAAAGCATGGCCCAAAAATATTAGCTTCTTTCTATTTTAGCCTGGTGTCTTCTTTAACAGTCTTTAAACACTGCCTTTTTGAAAATGTCCTTTTGCAGCCACTTCCTTCTTCTATTCCCACTGTTCCTCAGTTAGTTCAGGACCTCTTAGCTAAGTTTTGCTTTGCAGTGCAGGGGAACGTTGGTTCTCCAACTTCATTCATTCTGGAAGGCTATTTAGAAGCCATTTGTTCAAAAACCAAATCTCCTTTGTCACCTGGGAGGCACGTGACTGGTCATGCCGACGTCAGTATGAAAGGGTTGTTTAGTTGACAACAGAGATATTTTTTCCATGAACAACTTGGTAGAGACTGAATTGTTTGAGGTGTGAGACGCATGAGAACTGAGGTTTGACTGTAATTGCTGTACACATTCCTGTCTCTGGTCTTAGTGCCTCACAGTTCATGTCCATAGTGCTGCCAAAGTACAAATCTGATTGTGTCGTGCCCTTGCTTGGAAATGATCGGTTCCTTATTACCTCCATATGTATACTCTTCTTACTATGAAATTTGAAGTTTGCCTATTACAATTACAAATGCAATAATATATGGAAAATTGAGCACAAGGAACATACCATGGTTTTTGAGTTATGTTTCATGTCTTCAGTGTTTTTTTGGCACTTTTCTATATGTGCAGTAGATCAACATAACTTTTACCTTGGCTAAATTAGAAGATACATAGCTAAATACGGATTGTGCCTCTCCTTCAGTGTTTGATGTCGTGAGGAACTACACTGCAGACTACGACAAGACCTTAATCTTCAATAAAATCCATCATGAACTGAACCAATTTTGCAGCGCCCACACACTTCAAGAAGTTTATATTGAATTATTTGGTCAGTGTCTTACTTGTTTTAAATATGTAAATAACTAATTGGAAATTTTGTTAGCCTTGTTTATAGATGCTATAATTAGTAAACTTTATGCTATTTGAACATATTTTTAAAGGTTTTATTTTATTTTTTTAGAGAGGGGAAGGGAGAGAGAAAGAGGGGAAGAGAAACATCAATGTGTGGTTGCCTCTCTTGAGCCCCCTGCTGGGGACCTGGCCTGCAACCCAGGCCTGTGCCCTGACTGGGAATTGAACTGATGACCCTTTGATTTGCAGGCAGGTGCTTAATCCACTGAGCACATCAGCCAGGGCTATTTGAAAAATTTTATTGAATTTATAATAGAGCAATTGTCTTTAAAATATTCTTTATCAAACTTATAATAGAGCAATTGTCTAAAATGTTCTTTATTTTAAGATTAAATTTCTTGTGATTAAATCAAGTACTTAGACAAGATATTTTAAGAATGTATGAAATGTATAATATATAACTTGGTGGAAATAGGAAAAGATCATTAATTACAGGCTGTATACTATTTTTACTATGATAACTTATTAAAAATTAGCTTCGTTGCTATTTTAATAGATAATTTGGGGAAATTTAGAAGTCCATGTCTGATAATTTGCTGACAGGACTCTGTAAGTAGTTATACTCACACCTGAGCTGCATTACAGCAAAAGGATGCAAAGCAAAATCAGCAAAAGGAAAAGGCACATGGGTGTGGTCTGAAGGAAACCAGGCACAAGCTTTCAAGAGTACAGTAGAGAGTAGAGCAGAGCAGAGTGGGACACACTTAATTACTCCAGCACTGAGTCGTGACACCTGTGCAATGTTATCTACTACTTAGGGAAACTCATTAGACTCTGCCTGGGATCTTCACTGGGGGCTGGTGATGTAGGGTGTCTGGTATGTATCAAAATTCCAGACTACCAGTAGGAAAGCAGGTGTTTGGCATAAACCACATGGTTTGAATAAACAGTTTAAGCACAATGAGTCATGACCAGTTCTGTAGTTCATGGGAATCCTCTCAGAATCCAGATTCCCAGGTGACAAGCCAAGGGCTTAGAAAAACAGACTTTTCTAAGGATGGTCGCGTCAGGCCTCCTGTGTTTACTCTTTTTCTGCACAGATCACTTCTCATTTGTAATAATGAAAACTCTGACCCGGGATTGGGTTGTCGGGATTGGATTGTTGGGATTGGCTGCTCACTGCTTTCTTGGAATTGATAATGAATTTCTCAGAGGCAGGTAGAGGGGTGGTTAATCAGTTTAGAAATCTACAGTTGATTCCTCATTGATGTTTGGCAGCTATCGAGATGGTCCATGAGAAAACCGATCTGTCCTGGCTTGGCACATCACCTGTCTTTTTAATGTCAGTGAAAGTATTGTCGAGGTGCATTGAAAACTCATGAGTTATAAGGCCAAGTGAAGTGACATCTTTATTGTCCATTCTTGTGTGCTTCAGTGACTTTCCTGTGAGCCTCCCTCACCCCACCCTCTCTATTTTTAATTCTAAAACAATAGGCAGAGGTCCATGGAAATGAAATTTAGTTATTTGGGCATTTGGGGTAAAGACTGATTGAATATAGGATTTTTTTTTAAAGAGATGGGAGGGGAAAGAGAAAGAGAGGGAGAGAAATATCAGTGTGTGGTTTCCTCTTGAATGCCCCCTACTGGGGACCTGGTCTGCAACCCAGGCATGTTCCCTCATTGGGAATAGAACCAACAACCCTTTGGTACGAAGATGGGTGCTCAATCCACTGAGCCATACCAGCCAGGGCCTTTTTTGTTGTTGTTTTTTGTGAGAATCAGGACACATGTTAAGTAACAATACTGAATTGGTAATCTCCAATGGAGATCTAGGAGAATCTAGGTCAGTGGAGACCTAGATTCTCCATTTATTGGATCAACTTAATTTCTTTGATAATTCCTCATACTTTCTCCCACACAACAGAAAAAAATCATACATAAAATATATTTGTTTTCATATATATGTGGAGCACTTTAAGCTCTATAACAGAACAGTACTGTGGAAATTTTAGGTCTAACAATGACTGGTTTTGTTTCAATATCAATACAATGTAAAAATAATTTTTAAGTGTCATGAAAGCTGTTGTTTTTGGCTTCAAAAACAGATCAAATAGATGAAAACCTGAAGCAAGCTCTGCAGAAAGATTTGAATGCCATGGCACCCGGCCTCACCATACAGGTAAGCCTTTTTCCTAGAGAAATTCTCTGGGAATTGGAGAGTTTTGAATTTAATTGTCCTTTCATCAGACTGTTTACCCAGCAGTTATTTAATTGAAGTGCTGTGGTGGTTTATAGAATACCTTACTCAGTTGGACTTTAGGTCTCTGCCAAAATAAAAAACTCTTATACTTTATCATGAACTCTTGGATAAGCTGAGGCTCTTAAACGGAAATAAAATCCACATACGGTGATGTGTTGAGGCATTACTAAGATATAGTAATTGTTATAAATCAGTGTAAGAGTATTCCTTGCTGTCAGTAAGATTATGAAACAGGATTTCAAGTATAAGATTTAAACAATAGTAATTCTAGACAAAGGAAATGTCCTGAAGTATTAATCGACAAATTGGATGATTAGTGCTATAACAGTTTAGATATAGAGAACATTTCAAGAGAATCTGTCTGGAACAACTGTGATTGAGTTGGGATTTTAGGTAGGTCTGGAATTAATAGAATTTCTGTGGGGAAAAGGAGTACAGAATGTGTTTCAAGTTGGGATGGCCAGAGTAAAAGCAAGGTAGCAGGTAATGGTGGCAGTGGCGGCCGCAGCATTGGGAGATAGAATGGTGAGAGGTTATATATACCTGCTTTGGGGGGTCAGTATTTTTTCAGATTGGCTGGAAATCCATTAGTAGATTCTAAAATCAGTTTTAGTGTGTCATGACCAGCATTTTTGTAAAATGGAATTGAATAGGAAAAGTTAGTGCAGTGCAGTAAGTTAAAATACCATTCTGTGAAACTTTTGTTTTATGTAAATACATGGGTAGGTGTTTATACTGGGTGTCGCTGTAAAACATGTTTCTTACTGTGGTCATAGTAACATTTGAAAGCCATGACTTCTCCAGTATCGTTTCTCGATCAGTTGATCATGGTGGTGAACATTACTGCAACTAAAGATAAAGCTCTTTGGTGTCGCATGTCTCAGCTCTCACATTGTTGTGGGAAATGATGAAGCGACCAAACACTGAGGGATTTTGGAGTACGAGGTTTATTCCTTTTACATGCATGGGCTCAGAGGAGTCAGCCTCCAAATTCTGAGCAATGAACAAAGGATTCTTGGGGAATATATAGATTAGGGGTCTTCCTATCTATGTGGCAAAAGCAAGATACAGAAGCTGAATGAGGTAATTAGTCCTGTCTAGGGGCAGAGGCAGGGCTCAAGGACACAGGAGCAAAATGCGATAATTTAGTTCTGTCCAGGGGCGGTAGCAGAGCTCAAGGACACAGCTATCTACGGGGCAGAAGCAGAATGCGATAATTAGTTCTATTTACGGGGCAGGGTTCAAAGGCTCCCATTATTCAGTTTTTCAAAGTTTTTCAAAGTTTCCCATATTAACATTGCTACTGAAAGGGTGCATTCACTGTGAGTGACTGTACATTATCTCATTAACAGCACTGGAAAGGTGACTAGGGTTTTTCCTGTCCTCATTCATACTCTGCCGTTCTCTCTGCTAGGTGCCTGAGTGGGAGGGAGCCTCCAAAGTTAGGGGTCATTTGAAATATGTTCAGAGCTAACTTTGTAAAATCTTCTTGGTTGTACATTCAGCTGTAGTTGGAGTAGCTTTTCAAGTTTAAATACAATAAATGTGAATGTCATAGATTCTTAGATTCTGCCAGGTTGTTACTTGGAACCTGTAGCTCATTCTTTTTTTAAGAGCTGCCTAGAATCCCTTGCCTTTTATTTTGTAGCCATTTCCATATCAAGTTTCCTTTTTTTATGTGCTGTTAGTAAGCAAAAATGTAGTTAACATTCCTGACACATCTCCTTTTATGTACAAATTACCTTTCAAAGTGGCTCTACAAATCTACATTCTTACCAGCACTATGTGTGAATACTTGTTTTTCTCTACAGCCTCACCAGCATTTGAAGCAATCAGACATGTTAATTTTTGCTAAATAGATAGGTTTGAAGATCTCTGTCTTTTTTATTTGCATTTCCTTAGTTATTATGTTAAGTATCTTTTTTTTTGTATTTGTACTCTCCTCTTTCAATTGCTTGCTCATATCCTTTGCCTGTTTATCTGCAGGGGTTTTTTTCTTACTGATTTGTAGTAATACTTTGTATATTCTGGATGTTTTCATAGACATGTTATATATTATATTGTAAAAAAATTAGATATTAGGGAAAAGATGAATAACAAAGTAAAATTAACCAGTAATCTTTATATGTTTGTTTATAACTATAAATAATGTTATAATATTCAACTAAAGTGGAATCATGCCATAGTCTCTCTTTTCAGTAACAGTATATGAGCATATAAGCATCTTTTCAAGTCAAAAATACAGATTTGGGGCATCACCACTTTTAATGGTTTTATTTCATCTCTGTGGCTTCAAGTTTTTATTGTTATGTTCATGTTGCAATGACCAAGCTTGTTATAAACATCTTTTAAAATCCTTCCCTTAGGATAAATCCTTACATGTGGGATTGATGTGTCAAAATGTATCCCCATTTGGGGGCTTTTTGATACATACTGCCAAATTGCCTTCAGAAGAACTTGAACAGCTTACACTCACCCATCAGCAGTGTTGGTGAGCTGTAGTGTCCTACATGTTTGATTGTGATTGGACCCAAATAGTCACCCGTAGCACACCTGCTCTCTTAATCCTTTTGGAGAAAATTAATCTGGCCTTTTGTATTAATTACTGAGGTTGAATGCCTAGGCTATTTACTGGCTGTTTGTATTTCATTTGTGAATTGTTTGTTGTGTTTGCTCATTTTTTAGTTATTGATCTATTTTTCCCTTGATTTAAATAAGCTATTTTTAGTAAGTTAATTATCACAAGTCTTTTAAATGCATAGGAAGCTTTTTATGTAATAATTTTAGCATTTCTTTTTTTATGGTGTTTTGAAATGCTGGCATGCTTTAAGAGCTTTTCACCAGTTTTGAAATACAGAACTTTTTTTAAAAAACATTTTTCTTATTTTATTTATTTATTTATTTTATATTTTTTAAGATTTTATTTATTTCATTTGTAGACAGAGGGAAAACAAGGGAGAAAGAGAGGGATAGAAACATTAATGTGTGGTTTCCTTTCACATGCCTGCAACCCAGGCATGTGCTCTGACTGGGAATCCAACCAGCAACCCTTTGGTTCACAGGCCAGCACTCAATCCACTGAGCCACACCAGCCAGGGCTAAAATACAGAACTTGAATAAAATTAGAAATTACATTTTTCTCTACTTTTACAGTTGTATTTTTACCTTTAAGTCTTGAATTTATCCAGAACCCATTTGAGGTCCATGGTGAGGCAGGGCTCCAGTCACCCCCCAGCACCACCAGTTTAGTAACAACAGTAGTTCTGAGTAATTTGCGCTTCAGTGTCCCCGTGTTTGAAATGCCTTTGTATTGTATGCTAAATTCCATTATATAGTAGGGGAGGTTTGGGGGGGACTTTATTCTGGTCCATTGATCTTTCTATTTTCTATCCTTTGATTAAGTCATTGAGCCCTTGGTCTTTTCCCATCAAATCTACTTCTCTTCCGTTTTTTTTCTTCTTATTAGTAATGGCACCTTCTTCCCCTAAGACCAATCTAGATGCCTGTCCTACCACAGAAATCCATCTGACACTTCATGGCTCCATCTTCACTGCCACCTCCTTAGGCTGAGTCCGTCTGAATGTCTGCTCTAGTCTGTCTGGTTTCCACACTTTCATTTCCACTCTTCTCCATGTCGTTTTCTTCACAGCAGCAAGAAGGATCTTTTAAAGTTATATATGTTTGTCATTTATGTAAAAAGTTATTGAAAAAAATAGTACCTTATATACTACATTTTTAAACTGGTAAATCAAAACCTTCATCGTTTTGGTTGCTTTAGTCTTGATATAGTTTCTTATGATACTTGGAATGCATTTTTAGAACTTCTAAGCCTGTTTTTCAGCCTTTCTATTTTTAACACATTATGGTTACGATAATGTTTTTTACTCACCTTTAAAATACAGTAAGTTAGATTATCTTTTTAAAACTAATGGTGGTTAATATTTCTGCAAGAAGAGTTTTCATTATTGATATTTTTAAGTTCCATCAGTCACCTCAACTGGTGTGTAATTTTAAAATTGGAAACATAGATATAATGGCTTTACTTAATCACATCATCATTTTTGTTTCCTTTAGAATATCTGACCCAGGTGAGAAACTCCTATCCCAAATTAAATTAATACTCAGGGATTTAATGAGTTTTAATGCTGTTAAATATGTAGTACTTTTTTTTAAGCATTAAGGCAAATTTATTGTATATGTATGTTTGCTGAGTTCATTGTCTCTAGTAATTTTTTGGTTAATTTCCTTAGTGGGTGGGGGGATGTTTATTATGTATGTGTTAAAAAACACTTAACATGGTATCTACCTTCTTAAGTGTGCAATACATCCTCACTGACTATAGGTAAAATGTTGTACAGCAGACCTCAAGAGCTATTTTCTTGCTTAACTGAAACTTTGTAAATTTTCTTTGATTTTTTTTTTAGTTACATAATTATACCAAAATAAAAATCTTGATTTCCCCTTCCATAGCCTAGTATTTCCCAGTCCCCAAATCATGCTACTTTAATTCTGCACATAATACTTACAAGTATCTGAAATTCTCTTGTTTATTTATTTGCTCTTTATCATTGTCTGATGTGTTTTCTCCCTCTTAAATTTAGAATTCCGTGGCAGCAGTCTCGCCTGTTCATTGACATACGCACAGTGCCTAGAAGAAACAGCACTTGGCCCAGACTAGGCACCAGTTAATACTTGTTTTAAATGAATATTCTCTGTAACAACCAGTGTTTTCATTTCTCCCTTCTCTGTAGCTACACCCAGTTTTTCTTGAACTACTGCTTTGGCAAATTAGAGCAGTAAAAATACACAATCTTGATTTTTTTTTCCCATGTTATTTAGGGGAGAGACTAGTCTATTCTAGCTTTAGGTTTAAAAATATGCTTATAACTCAGGGGTCAGTTTCAACAGATGAATTTATTTCATCAGCTTTCCCCCCCTTTCTCCAGTACTCTTTGTGAGTGTGTGTTCATTTGGGCCATTGTTTGTTTGTTTTTTAATTTTCTTAAATTTTTTTTGTGATGCAACTTGTTCCTGGTATCTGTTCCAGGTATTTGTAATTTCACATATTTGAAAATTATGAGATTTCCCAAGATTGGCAAGCATGCAGTATGTTCTGCAACCTAGTATGGCAGGATAGAAGTCTACAGAAAGCAGTTCTATTTTATGCTTCTTTTTATACGACTAAAAAGTTAGGTGGCTAGTGTCTTAAATGCAATGTGACAATGCTTTCCTTTGAATCATATTAAAAGGTAATGGAAGTCATCTGTGTTTCTTAGTCACATGGTGAAATCTGACATTTCTCACAAATGCTGGCTCTGAATTTTTGTCTCCTGGATATCTCCACAGGTGGTTCTTTATGGTCTCATATGCTTCGTCTTCAGGGTGTAATGAGTCCCCACCCTGTGGCCCCCAGTTTCTTATCCCATTTCATTCTGATTTCTTGTATTTATTTTAATTATGACAGCCCTTGAAATTACGTGCAGATTTGTTCTCTTTCATGTAGGGAAGGCTGTGTTTCTTAAACATTTTAAAAAGTCTTTTTTCAAATGCCTTAAAACAAGGGTATTTAAGTCTTTGTTTCTTAAAACTTTAGCCAGTTTTCAGAGGAAAATTAACTTTCTTCAGACCAGCAAAGTGTTTTGTGTATGTTTGCAGTACAGGAGGGAAGTGAGGGATGTTTAATTAGTAAAATCAAAAGGTTTTGAGAGATCAAGTCCTGAAATACAAAAGTCATCCTTCAAAAAAATGCACTTACAAAGGACACAACATAATTATTTCAAAGTTCACTGGTTAGGAAAACAAAGTTTCTACTAAACGGTGTCTCCAAAGGGAAGTTGACTTTGCTCCTAAGTGAGATTCTAGAAAGCATATAAGCTCTTAGTTGATACTTGTTTTCCTTCTGCCTTTCACTGTTTGTAGCCAGTCCTGAGTGATTGTTGTTTTAAAAAGAGGTAAATTCATTTACTGCTCACTGTGTTAAGTTGCGTATACCACCTGGATTTTTGTTTTTTACTGTTTTCTACTTGACAATTTAAATCTTGGAATGCTGTCTTCCTTTTATTTCTTCGGTTTGAAAGTTACAAAAGGAAACTGAAGTATCCAACTAAAGAGCTCTGGGGAAGGTCTTGGAGGGCGATTATTTCCTCCACTGGTGTGGAGTGGCTTTTTCTGTAGCCAGGCTTGCTTGTTTTTTAGGAAGCAAGAAGCAGCTTATCCTTTATTATTGGTGTGATAGCTGAAAAGTAGCTTTTCTCATGGGATCCCCACAGGTGTTAGTAGGCAGGTATTTCATAGTTGTTTTGTTAGTTTAATTTGAGGAGCTCTTCTGTAGAAGATTTAGTTTGAAGATTTATTTTTCAAATATACTTTGGCTTTTTCACTTTTATTTTTTAGGCTGTGCGTGTTACAAAACCAAAAATTCCAGAAGCCATAAGAAGAAATTTTGAGTTAATGTGAGTAATATGCATGGGATCCCAATATTTTATTTAGGGCTGTCTACACAGTAATACACCAGTCCGGAGGAAACGCATGTGAGATACTACACTCAGGGGTGTATTGTATATCTGTCATCCATACTTCAGTTCACTAGATACTGCCTATTCTAGTGTCTTAATTCCCACTAGACTCTTTCAGCTTTCTCTTTATATTAATGGACATTTCAGGAGCAGCATCAGTGGCTAAGGATGCAGTTTGCTGTAGAACTATTGTTGGAAGCCTAAGGAGCTGTAATTTTGTTGTGAATAATACCTTGAATTAAATGCTAATAGGAGAGAGAAAGAGTCCTAGCTGTTAAGGTTGAAGAGAGTGCCTATATTCTGTTACTGCGTTACAGTGATAAGAAGAGACTCTTTCTTGGTATGGTGTTTGGTTTGTATGTGATTGTATATCTAAATACAGATTTGGAGAAGCTTTTCCTGAGTTTACTTCTAGTGGTATTCTCTTTTATGTGTCCAGGGCTGACTGGATAAATTGCTTGGGTGACATGTTTCTAAGTGCTTTGGGAGATCCCTGCTGGGAGAATACCTACTGTAGTTAAAATGGCAATGTTATTGTCATACGACAGACTGAGAAGAAACAAAAGCCTTTAGGAAGTCTGATTGGCGTGTTAAGAGGAAAAATAAGAAATGCTGGAAAAGTAACTTCGCAAGATGTCTAAATATAAGGGGCCCAAAGTGTGATAATACTTTGGAATGCTACACTTCTGAGTCCTGTTGTTCCCAAGTCTGTACCTTCTATTCAGGGTTTTATTTCCATTTTTTTCCTTGTAGAAAAGGAACTCTTTAGAAACTTTTAAGCACAGTATCACACTGAGCAGATCAGGGTCTCATCTATTTATAGAAAAAATATTTATTGAAGGCTAAGTGTGGTCTTAGGCTTTCAGTTTGATGGCTTCTGGTGATGGCAAAATGAATGCTGTGTGTTCTCTGCCCTCAAATTCCCCATTGTATCCAGAATGTCATTTTATGTCTTTATCGATGTTGGAAGGAGGAAAGGGCAGAGCTTTGAGTAAATATTTTGGGGAAACCATTGTAGTTAACCTTTCAGGAAATTCTGGATCTTTCCTAATTCTATATATACTATTGGATTTCCAGAGTTAAAGGCACCTGGGATCATCCAGCCTAACCTGCCACGTGATCACCTAGTTGCCACCTGTACATGCTTAGTGTTGGGCCAGCCGTTTCCATTATTAGAAAGCTCAGATTCTTAGAAAATTTTTTCTTACATTGAGCCCCAGTTCACCGCCTAGTACCGTAAACTGCCATCCAGTTACATCTTTTGTACAGCAAGTAAGGCCACCGCACAGGGGTGTCTGTCTGAGGAGGGGCTGAAACCCAGCTCCTTCCTTCTTGTCAAGCCATGCACCTCAGGGGCTGCATCTTCCCGGAGGTCGATGCCTTCTGCTGAGTGGTCCAGATGTGCTGTATGAGCAAGGTGGGGGCCTGACAGCAAAGGAAGCATTTATGCTCCAGATACTTCCAAATCACAGATCTTTCCATGATACAGTTAGAGGAAAAGTTCAGATTAAAATTTGCATGCACTAAATTTGATTCCTATCTCTGGGTGACTTTGGGCAAATCATATAATCTTTCAACCTCAGATTCATTATATATAAAATAGAGTAACACTCTCATTGCCTACTTAATGGATCAAAAAGTTCTTTTTGAAGGTGGTTCTCTGACCCCCCATAGAGTCAGCATTAACTAACTGCCCGTGACTGCACGTCATTTCTCATTTTTATAATATTTTGTCCACAGGGAGGCCGAGAAGACAAAACTTCTTATAGCTACCCAGAAACAGAAGGTGGTGGAGAAAGAAGCTGAGACAGAGAGGAAGAAGGCTATTATAGGTATTTGGATTTCTTTCTTGAAAGGGTTGTCTCTAAGTACAGGTATTGTGAGTTTGTCCTGTTCTTCGTCAGCTTCATGTTAGCTAGTAATAGGACTCAAATAAGATAGCATCATATATAGTTGAGAATTCTGGAAACTTCTTTACACAGTCAGGTGTCCTACAGCCTTTAAAAGCAGAGGACACCAGTACCTAAGTGTTTAATCTCTGTACCATTGTGTCTTTCTCAGGGACGGGGACAGTGGGTGGGGCTTGGGCACAGGTCTAGCCTCTGTGGATTAGGGCTTTTGTATATACAAATTAATCTAAATGAATAAATAATATGATCTCGAAAGCGGCAGGATTGCTGACAGCCTGTTTGGAATCAGCGACTTCCCAGACACTCTGTGATGCTCTTGGGCTCCCAGTTTTTTGTTTCTTGGATGCTGAAAGTTTAAGGAGTTTTTCACTAAATACTTCAGATTATACAGAATGTACAGAGAACAGTATAATGAAGGCTTAACTTTTTGCCAAATTTCCTTCAGGTCATACTTGTTTCAGGAAAAAATTTATCTGTTTGAAGCCTCCTTTGTACCCTTCCCTGGCCTTATTTCTTGACCTGTCCTCTCAGAGTGGCTTCTATTCTGAGGTTGATGTTTATTTTTCTGCCCATATTTTTACAGTTCCACTCTATGTAATAAACAACTCACAGATTGTTTTAAACTGCAAAATGGCATTGAACTCTCCCTCTTATTTCACAACTTGCCTTTTTAAACCAGCACTGTTTGAGTTTTATATTGGTACATGAAGATCCAGTGTTTAAAACTAGAGTATTCTCTAGTGTGAATGAACCTCAGTTTATCCTGATGCATTGATGACTAACGGAGAGTGAGATGGTTTCTGGGTTTACTTATTACAAAGAGTGCTGCAGCAGTGCCCTCCCCAGGGCTCTGGACACGTGCAGGGTTTTCGTTTTCCTGGACTAGGGTTACTCAACAGCATGTGGAGCGGGTCAGCGCCCTGTCGCCAGCTTTTTGTTTCTGGTTCACAGTGAGAAGAGCAGGAAATGGAGAAGCGGGGTTCAGAAGTTCTTAGGGGGCGGGGGCTGTGGTGGTGTTTTTTTTAAATGTCTGTTGAACCTAATAATAAAAAACGGAGCTTGTGCTTTTGTATCAGACTTTTTTGAATTTATGCCAGTTTGATGGTGGGCATTGTATCACATTATTTCAGATGAATTTCTTTCATTACTCTGAAGTTGCATATTGTTTATTGGTCTTTCAGGTTTCCCTCTTTTTGTAGTGTGTGAATTGCCTGTTAATGTCGTTAGTCTATTATTTGATTGCTTTTTTTGAACTGATTTTGAGAAGTTTTTTATTTCTGGATATTAATCCTTTCCCAGGTTTAGGCACTGCAAATATCTTCTCTCGATTTGTGGCTTGACTTTGAACTTTATGTTTCTGACATACATGTATATTTAATTTTCAGGTAATCAGATTCAGCAATTTTTCCCTTTCTCGTCTGTGCTTCTCTTGTTTAAGAATTCTTTCTTGGCCCCAAAGTAATAATTTTATTCTAAAAGTCTTACCATTTTGCTTTTCATATTTAAGTCTTGAATCTATCTGGACTTGATTTTAGTGTTTAGTATGACATAGGAATTCAGTTTTATGTTTTTCCAGTGGCATTTCTAATTTTTTTCTGCTAGTGGCAAGCCAGTTTGGCTTCAGACTGTTTATTAAATAGTTGATTATTTCCTCTTTTTTTTTTTAATTTTTATTTATTGATTACAGAGGAGAAGGGGAGGAGAGAGAGAAATTTGTTGTTCCACTTATTTATGCATTCTTTACTTGCTTCTGGTATGTGCCCTGACGAGTTTGAACCTGCAATCTTGGTGTATCAGGATGACCAACTAAACTACCCCAGGGCATTTCCTCTACTTGTGTCTAATGCCACCTTGGTTATATGACAAGATCCTGTGAATGATTTGTGCTGCTGCTCGGGTCTCTTTTGTCTCTAGTATTACGTTGTTTTAATTATCGTAGCTTTTATCTTAAGTCTTACTGTTTGGGAGAGCAAGTTCCTCCTTAACTGTTTATACTTAACCACTCCTGACTGCTCCTAAAATTGTTTTGAAGTACCCCAAGCCCTTTACTCCTCCATGTACATTTTAGAACCAGCTCCTAAGGTTCTGTAAAATACGGGTGGTATTGAGGTTTTGATTGGAGTTGCATTTTCTATACACATACTGACTTTTTGCTATTATAAATATGCTCCTTTTTTGAAGATACTTATTCTAACTTTTTGCTTTTGTATAGGAATGCTGTTGGTTTTTTTTTACTTAGCAGTCTTACTCACAATGCTATTTCTAATAGTCTGTTGGATTTCCCATGTGAGCAAGCATGTTGCCTACAGATCAGTTCTATTTTTTTCTTCGTAGTCCCACACTTTTTAGTTCTGTCTTATGGCTTTAGGTTCTGCTTGTTGAAAAGAAAGATGGAGATTGGCATTCTTGTTTTGTTCCTAACTTTACATAGTCCCAGTGATGTTGGCTGCACTTAACTTTTGTTGACTTAATGAAGTTTCCTTCTGCCTTTTGCTTGCCAAGGGCTGTTAAAACTTTTACAGTGTTTTTCTATATTTGTTGAAATGATCGTATGCTTTTTCTTATTAAAGCTGCTAACGTGGTGAATTATATTAATAGATTTTCTATCACTGGATTATTTTGTCTTACTGGGATAAACACACTTAATCATAATGTAGGAGGTTCTCCCCAGTACATTTCTCTATGTAGTTTGCTGATTATTTCTGTCATATAATTTTTATTTTCATAAATGAGATTAGCTTATAATATTTTTTCTTCTACTCTTAATGTCAGGGTATTTTTGTTTTGTCTGTTTTTTTGTATCATGGTTATACTAGCTTTAAAATGAGTTGCAGAACATTTCTTCTTTTCTAAAACATGTATGAAATACATACATTTTTTTTGTATATTTGGTGAAACTCATTTGTAAAAACTATTATAATCTCTTGGGGTTTGTGCAAATTTTTTGTATGCTTGGTTTTTTTTATGGTAATAGTTAACCTACTGATTGATTTCTTTGTTGCATTTATGTCTGTTTGGGTATTTGTTTTGAAGTCAGTTTTGATAGTGATATTTTTCTAGAAAATCGTCTTTTTCATCTGCTATTTTAAATGTGAGGACATAAATTTGTAGAACTAGCTCTCGATTTTTAGAATCCCCTACCAAATCTGTATGCTCCCTTTTTATTTTTAATGCTCTTTATTTGTGCCTTCTTTTTTCCTTAATCATTTTTGTCAGAGGCCTGTCTTATTTTATTCATCTTTTCAGAGAACTGGATTTTAATTTGGTTGATTCTTTTGTCACTTTCTTTTCAATTATGTTATTTACATTGTTTTATTTATTTCCTTCTACTTTTTTTGAGGTTACTTATTGGTTCTTTTATAACTTCTTGAGTTACTTAATACTTTAGTTTTCAGTCTTTTCTACTGGAAACATGTCAGATTATGTATTTTCTTCTAAGTTCTGCTTTAGGTATATCTCAGGTTTTGAAATGTAGTTTATTACTGGTGTTCAGTTTAATATTTCTATGATGATTTCTTCTTTGACTCATGAATTATTAAAAGTATATTTTAAATTTCTGATTGAATGAATTTTGAGGGGGCTCCATTCTAGTGTTGATTTCCATTGTTATTGTGTTATGTCTGAAAATATCTATTGTATAGATCTTTAAGTATTTGTTGAAATTTGCTTTGTGGCCTATCATCAGTACGTGGTCCTTTTTGATGAATGTTCTGTGTGATTGAAAAGATTATATAGGCTCTATGTGTTGAGTGCAGGTTTCTCTATACACCCAGTAAGTCAGGCTGGTGGTGATCACATCTTCTGTATTCTTCTAATTTTTGCCTTCTTGGTCTATCAGTTACTAAGAGAGGTGTGTTAAAATCTCCCACTTATGACCATGGATTTGTTCCTTTATAATTTTTTTCTTGATATATTTTGGGGCCGTATCATTAAGAGCATTCAGGTTTAGGAGTGTTACATCTCCCTGGAAAATTGTACTTGGTATGTACTAACCCTCTTTATTCTAAACATGCTTTTTTACTTAAGGCCTATTTTGTCTGATGATAATATAGCTATACCAGATTTCTCCCGATTAGTTATTTTCTTGATGTATCTTTTCACATCCTTTTACTTTCACCTTTTCTGTGTCATTATGTTTTAGGTGTGTCTCTTGTAAACAGCATATAGCTGGATTTTGTTATCTTATCCAATGTGAGACTCTGTCTTTTAACTGGTGAGTTTAGTCTTTTTATATTTATTGTGGTTATTGCTATGTTTGGATTTGTTTATATCATTAATTTTGTGCTAATTACCATGCATCTTTTTCTCTGCTTACTTTTGACCTCTTTTGTGGTTGGTATGGAATTGGTTGAATTGTCTTTATTCTTCTTTTAACTTGATTGGAAGTTCTACATTCAGTTTCTAGAAAATGTAACTAGTCATGACTTGTAAAATGTTAACAAGCATACCTGACTTGACAGTCTGAAGTTAATCATTCTTTCTATCCTCTCCTCGAGCAATAAGTTAGAATGCTTTAAATTCTTATCATTGTTCCCCATTTTTCATACTACTGTTGTCTGATAGTTTAGTTTTTTTATTTTCCCATTATTATCTTCATTAATTCTTACAGTAAGCATTTTAATTTACATGTGCTATCTCATTTTTTCTTAATCGTTTTTGGAAATTAATTTTTTTCTGCTAGTATTTTCAGCAGAGGCTAAGGAGTGGAAACTTACTGAGTCTTCTTGATCTGAAATGCTTTTGTTTCATTCTTGAATGGTAATTTAGCCTGTAGTTCTAAGCACAGCTAAGTTCATTATTCTTTGTTACTTTGGCTATTTTTGTTTGTTTGTTTTGCCTCTTCTGTTTTTACTTTTAAGATTTCTCGTTGTCTTTGGGCGTTCTTCAGTTTCACTACGATGTGTCTAGGTAGAAAAAAGCGTAACTGCTCACTAGGCTGGTAGGTAGTTTTACAGCCTCACTAGAGCTGCAGCCCTTGGGCTGGCTCTGTTGTGTGCTGGAGTCTCCGTTCCCACATCTCAGGGCCTTGTCTGCTGGCCCTGCCTGGGCAGTGCCCCAAGTCCTTCACCCTTACTCGTCCATTAGCCACTTAGGGCTGCCACCAGACAGGCTGTCACCTCTTGCTTTGCTTAGGTTTCTTGAGGAGCTCCCATTCTTTCTTAGAATCTCAGCCGTGCATTAAACACAAATTCATTATATTTTATCTATCACTTTAAAGATAACAATATTTAACTGGTGTGTTGCAAAAGTTTTTAAAACATGCAGTACCTGACTATTTAGTCAGGGGCACTGACCTCTTTCCCTTAGACTGTCAAATAAAAAAATGACAACAAACACAACAGCCGTCCAGTACAAATGAATCAAAATTTTACCTGTTTTTTTTTTGTCAGATCAGCAAAAAAAATACAATATATTTTTTGGTGTGCTACAGAATTTTAGTAATTAGATTTTGTGTGGCATGAGATGAAAAAGGTGGAAATTGCTGCTTTAATGTTTTGTAGTTGAAGGATTTTCTCATTAGCCTGCTCCACCGTTCCTGGACTGGCAGTTTTGTCACATTCTTTATGGTTCATCCCCACACGGCAAGGAGCGGTGTGAAGCTGGGTCCCAGCAGCAGTTCCCCTGTGTGAGGTACCTTTCTCTGGGTTCCAGCTGCAGGCACCAGGGGGCTTACCTTTTATCCAGATTTTACCCTGAGTTTCTGCTTATAGCTAAATTTCTAGCCCAGTTGAGTAGAGTAGTCTTATTTTTAGGATGGTATGGTACAGATTGATTTTATGTTGATGAGGAAATAGGGACATATGCCCTGGAGTATACTTGATAAAGGCTACTGCCTTCTAGAAAGAAGAAACCACTTGGAAATTTTCTTTTCATTATGCACTATCCCTAGGGAAGTACATAAAATGTTAAAATACACCCTCTTAAACTGAAAAGGAGAATTGAGAATGTTCTTCAAGAACTGTAATGATTGAAATGAATTATAATTAGAATCTTTCTTCCCTGGTCCTGGAGCCTTTGGTTAAGCCAGAGGTCTACTAGGAGTGTTTCTTCTTTTATTGTCCTTGCCTGTAACAGCCCACTGCAGCTAGCTTGTTCACTCTCAACATGTTTTTATATTCTCAGATTAATTATCCCGCTTCCTCTTTTGTCTTCCACAGCAATCAGAACATTCCTTTTCTGATAATGATTTTTGTTGTGTCATTTCCTTGATGGCAGTTTGACAGTTGATGATCCCTAAGTACATTAAAGCTAAATTCCTTTGGCTGTCACTGAAGACTAGCCCACTTTGTATTTTTGTTGGATTCTCTTGTCAGCCAGCTCTGTATTACCTCTTCATTGTGACTTGTTCATTCGTACCTTCTTGTCTACCTTCTGCCATGTCCTCCTAGGTCATGTCCATTATTTTCTTTAAGGTTTCTTCTAGAAGGCCTTCCTCAGTGTAACTTACCTGTCTTATTCTTTCTTTCTCCTGCCACGTTATATAATTGTACCTTGCCATGCATGTATGTTGCTCTGTTTTTGTTCTGAGTATTTTCATGAAGTATCTTTTTCCTCCATTAGCTTAAGAACTATTGGTATTTAATCCCTTGAAGGATTGAAAGTTATTACTATTACCTTTTGTATTCCTCCTTCCCACAAAATTAGCTCTGTCAAAATAGAGCAGTAAAGTAGGGAAAAGTTCCCCCCTTTTTTTCTGTTGAGTTGTTTATAGTCTGGGTAGATAAAGCCAACAGGCCACAATACTTCATGTGGTCGAACGTTGGACTATGTGCTGCTGGTTCCTGCGGAACTAGAAAAGGGTTTTTGAGTGTATCTTTTTTGTATGTGATTACAGAAGCAGAGAAGATTGCACAAGTGGCAAAAATTCGGTTTCAGCAGAAGGTGATGGAGAAAGAAACTGAAAAGCGCATTTCTGAAATTGAAGGTATATCAGGAAAAAAGAGGCTCTGACGATTCTATCTGCCTCTCTCCCACAGAGATGGGGCTCTTGTGGGTGGGGAAGCCATAGACAATAGTCTGGAGGAAGTGGCTGACCTGATATTCTAGACAGATTTTTAAAAACCTGCCAGTATCTAGCTCTTGGTTTGGTTTGTGACTGTGGCTAACTCAGCCTTTCCTTTTCCAACTTAGAATGGGTGCACTAGTTCCCGTTTTGTTCCCAGGCAGTGTGATAATTACCCATAATCAGCTGTAAAGAATGTATAAGCTGAGAAACCCCACCACAACATTTTCCTACCTGTCAACCAAAAAAAGCTGGAGAAGAAAGAAGCCCCAGAACAGAGGTTCTCAAACTCCTTGATTTCACATAGTGAAATATTGCTGTTCTTAGCTCATAGTCTTGGAGACCAAACATTGAACCTCTTAGGTTTATATACCACTGCTTCCTATTACTGTGCATTAACTGATTTTGGGTCAAATTTAGAGGGCATGGATGGGGGGGATCCACCTACAGGGCCCCCCCAGCCACCACAGATGAGAATAAGTCTACCAAGACATGATCTGCTTGGGGAAGAAAGGTAGCCGATCTCTCAAAGGAGAAGGGCCTTGAGCCTGTTCCTTAGTGGACTTTTATTGGGTTTATTTGCATAGGAATGCAGGGCGTATAAATACATAAAGCCCATCAATCATTGTCAGACAGTAAGAATCAAACTAGGTAACATTCAAAGAACTGAGAGTACTTAATCTGAGTCAGGGTCAGATAGCTAAAGGGCCATAAATTTGGGGAAACAAAAAAGAAAAAAACTTTGGGGAGCAAACTCATTTCAAGCTTGGACCCTTATCATTTAAATTGAGGCTATTAATAAAGTAGGTTTCACAGGATTTTATACATTCTTTTTTAGGCCTGATCTCCTTGGGCAACCTGCCCGTTCCAGCACAGGGCTGCACCTACCTCTGGCATTGTTTCCAGCTTAAGTCAGGCAGGGGAAGTAAGGCAGCCAAAGATTAGGAGACTTTAGCAGAGAGAATGAGGACCCATGCTATGTCAAAGCCAAGGGGTGAGGGTCTATCACTCTCTTTTTCTATAGCCCCCCCAGTCCTTCCCTTAGGGCCCCTTCGTGATGGTGCCTGTCTTAGGTCGTCCCTCCTTTGAGGAATCTTACCTGTCATTGGCTAACCAGTCATCCACTCTGGGCCAAGCAGGGTGAAGTAAAGGGGGCAGAGGTGGTGCCCCTGTCAGGAAGATAAGCTTTGTCTCCTTAGTGGCTTAGGGTCCCAAGGTCCCTCTCTCAGTCTTAGCCATGGGGGAGGGGGGTTTACAGCTTCTGAAACTAGGCAGGGAGGTTCCCAACAGGTGGAACCTATGCAATAAATAGAGTAGAGCTTTCATGTTTGGATGTTGTTAGGTCCCTTGGAGCCAACAGCCTGGGTGGGGGGGTGATTGTGATACTTTGGGTGATGGCAGGTGGAGGAAAGAAAGGGCGGCATTGGGTAGAAAATGAAATGGGGTCAGATGAGCTGAGAGTTGTTCGACATTGACAAGAATATTCCCCTTAGAGAACAGGTTGTCTGAAGACTGGGATTTAAAAACTGCTAGTGTTGTAAGATGCCTTTACAGTAAAGTAAGCTATCAAAATATCAGGCAGTAGAGAAAGAGACTACTCCTACTTAAGGTAGAGTCTGAACTTGTACCCAGCTGAGGAAATGTATTACAGGTTAACTTTGTTTTAAATATCCTGACTGTTGTGTTTGCTAGATGCTGCGTTCCTGGCCCGAGAGAAGGCGAAAGCAGATGCTGAGTATTACGCCGCGCAGAAATATGCCACCTCAAACAAGGTGACTGGCTCTCCACGCCACTGTCCTAGTAATGCAGCTTGGGGTTTTGTGTTCCCGTGTGGGGGAACTCTCAGGAAGTGTGATAGAGGTGATTTTATCCAGTGTCAAGGAAGTATAGTTACCATCACACCCTCTACAGTAAGTCAGTCACTTGGCAAGATATGTGTCACACTTCACTGGATAGGGAATTTATATATTTGCTTATAAAAGTGGGGAGCTATAACAAAGGCAAGCAGATTTATAAAAACAAATGTCATACAGCCATTAATTTATACTGCCATAAGCTCAATAATTAAAGTTGAGGGACTTCTGAAATGACAAGTGGGACAGAAGAGTGAAATTCGCTTAGACTTGCTTCCCACAGAAGGTAGTTTTTTTAATAGATGCTAAGCTTGTTTAAAGTTATTTCTCATCAGAGACATTCTTGGCATTTTGGAGTGAGGTACTTTTTCATTGTTGAAGATAGTCTTGTGCGTTATGGAATAATTTGGATCTCTGGCCCTTGCTTACTAAATGTCAATAGTGCCTGCCAATTATTGTAACAATCAACACCCCTCTCCCCACATGGTTCCAAATGCACCCATTTCAGTACTGCTTGTTTATTAGATTTAGGAAGTGTTCTAGTCATGAGGAATCTCATGTGTAATAACTTGAGAAAGGAGGTTCAGTGTTACATGGGTAACCAGCTTTTGTGTACAGACTGGGGTAAGTTTAGGTCTAGAGAATGCATGTCTGGTTAGCAGGAATTAAGAGGCAGCTGGAGCTCCTATGTTAGTCCGAGAGGGGAAGGATATGACCAAGGTTTGTAAGGTTATTAGTTGTAGTCTTGGGGTGGAGAAAGAAAATGCTCAGGTGTGTGATACAGTTGAAGGATTAGAGTCAAGACCGAAGGTATAAACAAGGGCGTAAGCTTTTTTGACTTAGAAAAGAACATAATCTGTATTCAGAAGAAGTGATAGGACCTAATGGGTGACAGAATGAGGGTTGTTGGTTCTGTGAAATCCAGTATGAATTTAGAAACTAACTTAACGTATTGGAGGACCCAGCTCTACAGAAACAGAACATCTTTGGTCAAGATGAAGACAAGATGAGAAACTTGAGTTTACAAAACTAACATTCCAAATCTGTCATTGGAGAGGCTGGCCAGGCACAAACATCCAGACCTTGTCACTGAGGTCAGCCTGATGCTGAACAGGCAGTAAGGAGCTTTAGGCCGCTTTGAAAAATGCCATTCAGAAACTGACCTGTAGTAATTAATTAATTAACTAATTAATTAATTAAGGCTTTTGGAAGTATGTTGTTATGCACTGTGACCAGAGCTGATGCCAGTGTCTCACTCAGCAAGGGTATGAGTCAGCTGGGAATGGAGTAGGGCCAGGGAGTGGGAGGTGTCAGGGAACCGTTAAGGACAGCATGGGCTTTGGCCTGGAGGCTTGAGATGAGGAGAGAATCACTAGGAAAGGTTCTGAGGGGCTTTTGGAGTGTATGTGTGTGTGTGTGTGTGTGTGTGTATTTATTTTTAATTTTATTTATTTTCATTTTTATAGAGAAGGGAAGGGAAGGAGAGAGGGAGAGAAACGTCAGTGTGTGTTTGTGTCTCTCATACCCCCTACTGGGGACCTGGCCCACAACCCAGGCATGTGCCCTGACTGGGAATCGAACCAGCAACCCTTTGGTTTGTAGGCCTGCTCTCAATCCACTGAGCTACACCAGCCAGGGCTTTGGGAGTATATTTTAATGGACATTGGAAATGAATGAGTTTTAATCAAACCCAGAGAGATTGTGGTTGGATATATCATAGCATCATGATGTAAAAAAACATTGTTTGTTTCATCACAAGAGAGCTGATGATTGACACGAACATCTGTCTATCACAAACAGTTTAAATACCTAGTTTCTGGGTAGAGTCAAGAGGCCAGACCAGGTGATTTCTATGAGCCCTTCCTTTGAAGCTCTGCCATTCTCATCCATTAACCTGTTCACCTCTCAAGAGAGCCAGCACAAATGCCAGACCGATTCCAGGTTGATTCAGCTACATGAGGAAGTGTATATGAAAGTACCAGCCATGAGTGATACGAATACTATTATCATTACCTAGTGAGTTATATCCTTCTTTGTTCTCCAAAACCACCCTCATCCCCAGGGGTTTTTGTTTTGTTTTGTTTTGTTTTGTTTTGTTTTGTTTTGATTAAAAAATGATTAGCATCCTACCTCAGGGCAGAGCTTGTTGAAGGAACTTCAAGTCTGTAATATAGGTGTTAATGTGATAGATAGCCACACATCAAAGTAAGAGAGGATTCTTGGCAACAGTTCAGGTATCAGTAATGATACTTAGCAGAGCAATAGGAGAAATGCGTAAGGAGAGAGAGATGAATATTGTACCCGAGTGTCCTGACGCCTTTGTTCTTGTTTGCCCCCACACAGCACAAACTGACCCCAGAGTATCTGGAGCTCAGAAGGTACCAGGCCATTGCTTCCAACAGTAAGATCTACTTTGGCAGCAACATTCCTAGCATGTTCGTGGACTCCTCTTGTGCTCTGAAATATTCAGATGTTAGGACTGGAAGGAAAAACTCTCCTCTCCTCTCTGAGGAGGCTCTTGAACCCTCTGGAGAGAGCCCCGTCCAAAAGAAGGAGAACATAGGTTGATGCAAGAAGTGGAAATGTTCACCCATGTCATGATGCGGTCCAAGGGGTTCAGTGGGAACAGTGGTAATAGGACTCTCCGTGCTCCTGTGTTCAGCCTCACCTGTGGTAGTCCTGGCTCACCAGCCGATTCCAGGATAGAGCCAGCTGTCTGGCACCCCAGTGGTCTGTGCAGCTGCGGTGTTACCAAGTATTCGGTGTGTGTGTGTTCCTTTCTAAACTGGCACTTGTGAAAGAGGGAAAGTCCGATGCTAAGATACAGCCTGTACTGGAATGGTCAACACTAAATACATAACAAGCTGTGCTTTTTAAAGCTTGAGATCTATTGAATAATGTTTACATTGGTCCCTGGGGAAATGTGTGCTCGGCCATTCAAGAGATAGAAAGCCAGAAAGAAGACCACCAGGATGTGGTGTAAAGAAGACCACCAGGATGTGGTGTAAAGAAGACTCAGTATACCTGGGACCCAGGCTCTCTGGAGTCCAGTCCCAGCTTTCAACCATGTGATTGGCTTCTGGTCTGCTGAAGTTCCCCAGGAAATGAGCTTCCATTGAGCAACCATTTACTTGATATGATTTATACCTTTTTGTTTTCCTACAGCCAAGTTGGTGGCCTGCTGGGGCATGCCCCTTGCTACTCAACCAAATTCCTTTAGAGATTTCTAATCAGTAGTTTTTTATTGCATTAGTAGGCGCAGAGAGAGAGCTTGGTTTGAAGTTCTGGGGGGGAGATGAAACCTGTACTTTGAACCAGAGCTTTGGGACCTGCATTCTCCTCCATCGGGTGGTGATGGTCTGTGTCACTGCTCCCGGCCATGTGTGACTTAAGGGACCTGGTTTCTAGTCAGACAGCTCCTTACATGGCACCTTCCAGCTCTGGCTGGCCAGGAGCAAGACGGGGCTTTACCCAGAAACAAAAGCAGCGTAGTTCCTAGCTGTTCACTGCACAGTATTGTATTATAACTGCAGGAAGTTTTTATTTTTAAAACTGGATTTTGGGTACATTCATTTGCCCCAATACCTCTGCCTAAAGGCTGTATTCTAGGCTGCCATGGTTCCTAGCACACTGATTCCCCCTTTCAGTATTGTTCATCAGGAGCCTACATAATGTTGAAAGAAGAGTAACGTAGAAAGCAACCTGGGTTATTCTTGTCTTCTTCCTTCTTGGCCCTCAGATACTGAAATCGGGGTTGCTCCACAGGAGATCCTTTTTCTCCTAGGAGATCAGGATTCCACTGACTTCCTGAGCAGCCTATGGATTTAATCTTCAGTGAGGACAACAGAGTCACTGGATTTTTGCTGTGTATAATGCACACCCAGTTTTGTGCACATTACACATGGGATTATTATGCCCATTATACCCATGGCATGTAATCATTATACCCATGTATAATGTGCACCCTTATCTTCCCTCAAAGATTTGGGCAAAAAGTGTGTGTCATACATGGCAAAGTACAGTAGCTTGTGGCTGTGGGAGACCTGTTTCATCTGGACTTTTTTCCTTTAGGATTAACTTTCCTGAAACAATGTGCCCCATAGTTAGACCTGAGTGTGTGCTGCTTGGTAAGGCCTTTTGTGTGGGCTTAGTTCCAGCCAGACAGGACAGTCAGGGGACCACATTCGGCGAGCGCTCTGCTATTGGTCTCCTGACAGCGAGTGGGCTGTGCCAAACGCGTCACGTGGGAAAGGAGTCTCAGGTCTGAGTGGGTCTTTCCCCAGGGCCTTACCCTGTAGAGGCATTTGTAGTACGGAGACCATCAGTTTTTCATTTTTGCTCAATTAATTGTATACATCGTATGTGAGTGAATTTTGTTCTCTAGCCCTCCTTGAAAGAACTTTGGAACTGTAACTTCTCACCTATCAGAGTATCATTGCTGCAGATAAATAACGATTGTTGTGGGAACCTGGGTCATCAGTCTTTGCGCTCTTTCCGAGAGGCGTTTCCTGTTCTGTGAGCTGCAGAAAGCTGCTGCCCCCGAGTGCGAGGTGTGGGTTATTTTACAAGCCACAAGCCCTGGTGGCAGAGTTGAGAAACAGGGTAATCTCGTGAGGTGTTACAGAAAGGACTTCTACTTGAACTCCCCCTGGAGTGCGCTTCCCTGTGCACACTCGAGCTCTAGGTCTGTCCCTCCTTCAGGGATGTCCCTTTTGGCAAAAATATACACTGTAATCTTGAGTCTAAATTTATATGTGATATGCTACCTTTTTTAAAAAAAACTAAATAAAATTATTTTATTATCAGTGATGTGTGTTTTCCTTATGTCTCCAATCTTTTATCTGAATATTCTCCCAAGGCTTCCTTGCCCATTTCACTAAATAGCCACTTTACTTACTAGTTTTGCTTAACTGTAAAGGCTTTTCCTATACTCTTCCTAGAACACCGCTTCCCTAGTGTGAGCATTTTAAATTTTTTTTTCAATTACAGTTGACATATATTGGTTTCAAGTGTACAACAGTGATTAGACATAACTTCTGAAGTGATCACTAGTACCTGGCATAAGAATTTTGAAAGCAGGGTCTCTATTCTTTTCTGACTCAGAATTTAACAAGGGGTTTTCTGATTCTTTGTGGGTACAGCCAGCTCACAGGGATGGGAAGGGGGGAGGCAGTTATGTTGAAGCATAAGGATAAATTGTATAAATTATAGCTGGTAATGGTGTGGTATAACTAACCTCACTAATTCAGGTGTTCACCCAAGAGCCAGGTTTGGACGTGCCCTTCCCAGGCTCAGCATTCCCTCTTGGGGACAATTTCACAGTGATGTACAGGCAGCAGGGCTTGGTATTGGGAGTTTGGGGAAAGCAGTGCTTTTGCTCACCTCTGGCAGTGGATGAGGTTGGGTAGGAGGAGATAGTGGCAGAGCTCAGGCAAGCTTCCCTGGCCCCACAGATCTACTGGTTATTTGGCCTGGAGTTTGGGAACCCCTGTCCTATATAGGCTTTTGGTAGATATTAAAATGAAGTGATTTCGAATTAAGTAATTTCTTCTTGCTGTGGGGAAGGAATTTTGTGATTAGACGTTATGACTTACAATCACTTAGGGTTAAGTCCTCCATGTGTGCATACAAGGTGTTTTGTGATTTGCTGTCCCCATCTGACTTCTCCAGCCCAGATCCTTTGACTACCTTCTCTGTGTATGTGCATGTGTTTTTCCATCTGCCTGGCTCACATTTTCTCCCCTGTATCTCCAGCCTGCCTTTGCTAACTCCTGCTGAGTCTTCACTTCCTCAGAGAGGCCGCCCTGCACTGCTTGCACAGGTGAGCACCGCGTGATTCCCTGTGACATTTCACATACCTTGCATTACCTGCATAATGTTTGTCCTCAAATAATTTAGCTCTTTGGGGGCAGAGACTTTGACCATGGTCTTCCCCAAGGTAGTATCTATTACTCATGCCTAACGTGGTACCTGACCCATATGCCTTAGTCATTTTTGTTGTATGAAAGAACAAAAGGATGTATGTGAAATGCAAGTTAGTGACTAGTGGGGAAAAAAGAATGCAGAACTTAGGCCAGAGTGTCCATGTCAGGATTTAATGTGACTTGGGCTGTCACCTGTCACCTCTGACCTGTGTTCCTGACCTTGCAGGGCTCTGCAGTGGATTCAGCATCTAGCATAGTGGGAATTGCTGGGAGTGGTAGTGCACCCGTCCAGTGTGAGTCAATATATGTTTCAGATGCTGGGTAGACTTCAAGTTCCTGTAGTGGAGAGAGCACAGGGCATGACATATAGGTGCATCATAAAGGGCATTTAATTATAATGTCTTGAGCAGCTATGAGCCAAGCTACCTTGTTTTTAAACCTCAACTACAGCCAGTCAGGAAAACCTCAGCAAGCTGACCCAGCTTCTCAGCTTCCTCCTGGCCTCTGGTCTTTGAATGGGTGTGTAGAACTGCAGCTGGCCCTTGGGCAACGTGGGGGTTGGAGCACCGACCGTGCATGGTCAAAAGTCTGCATGTAGTTTTTATCTCCCAAAAAGCCTTAGAGATAACAGTTAACATATTTTGTGTGTTACATGTATTTCAAATAGCTAGAGAAAAAGTGTGAAAATCATAAAATACAGCATTTATTTTTGTCAAAATCCACGTTCTGCAAGTGGACCTATGCAGCTCAAACCCAAGCTTTTCACAGGTCAGCTGTGATGTACTGTCAGTTCATTGCTCACTCCAGTTGCCCATTATTATATAGATAATAGGAAACAGTGACATACTGTTTTCCTCAGCTACCCGTCCATCTTTTATTCCTACTTTCTATCCATCTCCTACTTCCCATCAGCAAAAGACTGAATGTGTCTTCCCAAAGCCCGTGTTGCAGCCCTGCTCCCCAGTGTGATGGCATTTGGGGGTAGGGCTTTGCGGGGGGTAAACAGGCTGTAAGGATGGAGCCCTCGTAAATGGAATTGGTTCCCTACAAGATGAGACACAAGAAAGATGTCTGTCTCTTGGCTGTGTGAGGACACAGCAAGAAGGTGGCCGTCTGCAAACAAGGAAGAGGGCTCTCACCAGACACCAGATCTACGTGCTAGCATTGTTATCCTGCCTTCTCGGTCTCCAGAACTATGGGAAATAAGTTGGTTTAGGGCCACCTGTTTATGGTATTCTGTTACAACAGCCTGAGCAGACTAAGACACCATCTAATTCTGTTTTTTATCTTCAATTTTTTCTTTCCTTTCTTCCTATAAGTATTGGGCATCTAGTATGTGCTAGTTGCTGAGGCAACAACAAAAAGGTGGATAGCCTTGAGTGTTCGGGATGGGGGCAAGGGTGGCGAGCACATAAAAGGCACTTAGAGTGTGGTAAGTAACTCGGCAGTGTACACTGGATGCAAGGGACACAAACGAGGGTCAGCCCAGCCTAGCGGTTCCTAAGAGGCAATGGGAGCTTTGGGCCAGATTTCAAAGGATGGCAGGAGGCAGCCAGCCAGCTGAGGAGTGATGGGAAGTGTGTCCCAGGCAGTGGGAGCACCAGATGCTGTATCAGAATGCAGTTCACAGGTCCCCTTGCCTCAATAGTGCCACATGTGCACTTAGCATTTTATGTTACACTGCAGGGATCCCGCACACTGTGGAAACTGCAGTCCTGCTGCACGTGACTCAGATGTGCACAAGACTGTCTCGAGGAACAGCCCTCAACCGGTGGGAGACAGGAGCACAGTGGCCAGAGAGGAGGTGAGCCCTCAAACCTTTTCCGTGGAGACAGCAACCCTCCTGACACAACAGGGGAAACCATGTGAATATCAACTTAACTACAGTTCAGCAAGTGTTTGTATGGTGCGAACCAGGAAACCTGGTACCCGTGTAAAGCAGCAGTCCTCAACTTTGGCGTCAGGGACTGGTTTTGTGGAAGTCAAGTTTTCCATGGACGGATAGCGGTTGGAGGGCAGGATGGTTGGGGATGATTCAAGTGCATTGCATTTATTGTGTACTTTATATTTCTGTTATTACATTGTAATATGTAATGAAATAATTATACAACTCACCATAATGCAGAATCAGTGAGAGCCCTGAGCTCGTTTTCCTGCAACTAGATGGTCCTATCTTGGGATGATGGGAGACAGTGACCCCTGAAGTGTGTTGCTTATGTCCAGTCTGCTCTCGTTTTGGTTCCTGTCACTACACAAAACCCTGCTTCACAAAAATAGGTTGCTGGAAATGGAAGCAAGCTTTTCAGTGTTTTCATGGCAATCTCAGGATATTCCGCCTTGACTTTTTTTTCTTTTTCTTGACCACAACAATCTTTTACTTTTTTCTTTATGGCTACTGAAAATCTGCACTTGGACAAGGCAGTTAATTCTCATAACACATACCCCTATCCACATAGCCAAGGTCTCCATCAGATTCCACAGTGAGCATGTGGTACATCACATTCTCTTCCACAGGTGCATTTTTTTTTGTGAGTTTGTAGGGTATGGTCAGTTCTTCTGGAAATACTAACTTCTCACAAGCTGCCTCCTTGATCGGTAAATACTGTGCTACTTCAGAGCACTCCATGAGGGAGGAAGGCGGAAGATGCATTAAATGAGCAATTTTGCTCTCGTGATGCACATTCTCATAATGTGTAGGTCTTGTCAGCCTCTGGTAAAGTCTAGTGTCATTCATTCTGATAAGCACTCCATCAGTTCTCAAAAAAAACCTGCAACAGCTAGAAAAAGCTGGAAGGCGTTAGTTGAATTTTCATACTTAGACTTGAAACTCCATGATCATGAAGTTCAACAAGAGATCTTCAAGAAACTAATCTCTTCTCTGGCTTTTAATTTCTCTGTATCTGTATGATCTGTTGTAGGTACAACCTTTAACTTGAGTGATTTTCTAAGTCATGTTCCCTTATAATCTGTTGTATAGGTCCAATCGTACTGTTTGATAACCCGCTCGGGCTACTTTGAGCCTCCCTTGGTAGTTGTTTACGTATCAAAGCATCTGTAGCATTGAACTCGATTCCAAAACCAGACAGTGTTAGCTTCTTGAAACATGATTTCCAAACATCAATTCAGGGAGGGATGGCGTATGCAACTCATCAGCTAACTTCTCTGCAGATTTCATGATGTAGGTCTTGGTAGCTGTCAGCTTCCAGAGCCCGAAGGAGAAATCCTGGTGGCTACTCCGGAAGCTGTGAATCATCAAGGGCAAGGCAGGGCCCACATGGGCCAGGCAGAACGGGCTAGAGTAGCAGTGGCAGCAGTGGACACAGGTTCCCCTACCTTGCTGGGGCCCAGCACTCCCTGACCCCCTCCTTGACTTTAACCCGCTTACCTTCTGCTGTGTGGCCACAGTTCCAGTACTGGTCTGTGGCCTGGGGGTTGGGAACCCCTGGTGTAAAGTATTGGACCAACAATGAATGAGACAGATACTGTCTCTGCTCTCTCAGAATCAACAGTCTCATGGGAAGGTAGACCTTAACCAAACAATTCCAACTATGTAAGACTATATAAATAAGAGGAATGTAGTGCTAGGTGTGTGTGAAAAAAAGAGCAGGGGGAGAAAGTGTAAAAATGAGAAAGTATATTAGCCAGTTAAAGATCAGGGGATAACAATAATAACAAGACAACCCAATTTTTAAATGGGCAAAAGATGGCAATATTTCTTCAGAGAAGATATATAAATGGCTAGCAATAACAAGAAAGATATTCAATATCATTAGTTATTAGTGAAACATCAGTCAAAACTATGAGATACTTCATACCCAGTAGGATGTTTATAACAGAAAAATTCAGGCTATAACAAGTGTTAGCAAGAATGAAAAATCTGAATTCCCCTACTTTAACTATAGGAATATAAAATGCAGTCACTTTGAAATACATTTTTGACAGTTCCTCAAAATGTGAAACATAGAGTTGCCACATGACCCAGGAATTTCACTTCTAGGCATCTATGTAAAAGAATTAAAACATGAGCACAGGCACTGAACATTCTTTAAAAGGCTGGATTGTATGGTGTGTGAATTACATCTCAGTAAAGCTGTTAAAAATGAAAGCTTGGGTAATAGTGTGAAGACCTCACTATTTTTGGAAGTTCAAGAACCTTCCAAAAATGGAACAAAGTTTAATGGAGGCACATTACTCATAAGAATGGGGGAGCACCGAAAGATGAAACCAGCAAAGTAGGTGTCAAGAGAGGTAGGCTTTCTAAGTCTTGTTACATATTTATGACTTTTTTCAAAAGTTAGAAGCAGACCTTTCAAGCAACAACTTTCAGAATTTAAAATTTAAAATGCAATGCCATTTACATTAGCATCCAAAAATATGAACTACTTAGGTGTAAGTCTAACAAAATATGTACAAGATTTATCTGAGAAAAACTACAAAACTTTGATGAAAACAAAAGAACTAGAAAGAGAGGTATTCCAAGTTCATGGATAGGAAGACTCAATATTGTCAAGATGCTACTTTCTTCCCAACTTGATTTATAGATTCCATGCAATGATCAAATCCCAATAAGTTATTCTGTAGATACCAACAAACTGATTTGAAAGTTTATATGGATAAGTGAGAGACCCACAATAGCCAACACAACAGTGAAGGAAGTAACAAAGTTGGAAGACTGATACCACCTCACTTCAAGACAATGTAAAATAGCAGTAATCAAGACTGTTGTATGGGCAAAAGAATATACAAGTAGGTTGGTGGGACAGAATAGAGTGTCCAGAGAAAGAACCACACAAATAATAGTCAACTGAACTTTGACAAAGGAGCAAAGGCAATAAAATGGAAAAAAAGATAGTCTTTTCAACAACAGTGGTGGAAGAACTTGACATCCACTTGCAAAAAATGAATCTAAACACAGACCTTAACGCCCTTCACAAATATTAACTCAAAACGGATTGTAGACCTACATGTAAGGGTATGGCTTTGACTTTTTAGATACTTTTTTTGTTCTGCAAAAGACAATGCTAAGAGAATGAGAAGACAAGCATAACTGGGAGAAAATGTTTGCAGAAGACACATCTGAGAAAGGACTGTTACCCAACATATATGAAGGACTTAAAACTTAACAGTAAGAAAATAATCCAATAGAAAAATAGGCCAAAGAATTTAGGAGACACCTCACCAAAGAAGATAACACAGATGGTAAATAAGCACGTGAAAAGATGCTCCTCATCGTTGTACCAGAGCAGTACAAATTAAAACAATGATTCTTATTCCCTGTACCTATTCTGCCCATTTTCCCCCTCCTCCTCCTCACTGATAAACCCTCCATATGATCTCCGTTTCTGTGATTCTGTTCCTGTTCTCGTTGCCTGCTTAGAAGCATGATAGGTAGACATAAAATAGACGGGGGAGGTTAAGAATAGTATAGGAAATGGAGAAGTCAAAGAACTTCTATGTACAACCCATGGACATGAACTAAGCAGGGGTGGTGCTGGTGGGTGGGGGGAGGTGCAGGGCAGAGGAGGATAAAGGGGAGGGGAAAATGGGACAACTGTAATAGCATAATTAATAAAATATACTTTAAAAAAATGTCCAGAGTAAAAAACCCAAACAACAATGAGATGACACCACACACCTAGTATAATGGCCCAGATCCAGGACACTGACAACACCGAATACAGGTGAGGACACAGAGCAACAGGAGTGCTCCTTCATTGCTGATGGGAATGCAGAAGGGTGCAGCCTCTTTACAAGACAGTTTTGTCTCACTAAACTACACATGCTCTTACCATGTGACCCAGCAGTTGTACCCCTTGCTATTTGTTCTAATGAGTTGAGAACTTACATCTACACAGACCTGCACACAGATGCTTATAGTAGCTTTATTCGTATTTGCCCAAACTTGAAAGCAACTAAGATGTCCTGCAGTGAGTCAATGTATAACTAAACTGGCGTAACTTCCAGACAATGGAATTTTATTCGGCGCTAAATAGAAGGGAGTGATCAAGCCATGAAGTGACATGGAGAAACTTTAAATGCGTATTATTAAGTGAAAGAAGCCAATCTGAAAAGGCTATACACTGTATGATTCCAACTCTTTGACGTTTTGGAACAGGCAAAACTATGAAAACAAAGATCAGTGGTTGTCAAGGGTTGAGCTTGGTGTTGGGATTGAGGGAGAATAAATAGGTAGAGTACAGGGGATTTTTAAGGCAGTGAAAATGTTCTATAATGGGTGTCAAACCTTTTGGCATCTCTGGGCCACACTGGAAGAAGAAGAGTTGTCCTGGGCCACACATGAAATACACAAACACTAATGAAAACTGATAAGGAAAAGAAAGGTTTTCAGTAAATTTACGATTTTGTGTTGGGCCATGTTCATAGACATCCTGGGCCACATGTGGCCCATAAGCTGCAGCTTGGACACTTCTGCAACTTACTATGAATAAGTAATACATGTCATTATACATTTGTCAAAACCCATTGAGTGTACAGCACCAGGAGTGAACAGTAATGCCAGCTATGGACGTTGGTTCATGTGTCAATGCTGGTTCACTGACTGACGGCAACTCCGATGCAGGATTTTGATGGTGGGGATTGAGGGTGCATGGGAACTCTGTCTTCCACTCAATTTTTCTGTAAGCCCAAAAGGGCTCTAAAAAACATATGTACTCTAAAAAACATAAAGTGTTGAAAATGAAAAAAAAAGTCTGTGGAAAAAAACCAAAAATTCTTTCATGTTTTTAAGCAAGGGAATGATATGTTTATGTGATTTTAAATCTCTTTCCCAACATGATTCTAATATCTCACTGTATTTACTCACCTGCTTTCAACATCCAAAACAACATTAGGGTCCTAACTGCTTAAGCATTTCCAAGTCAATAATTTACCTTACCATGAACTGTCTGCAAACGAATCTTTGGAAATAGCAAAAACATCAGTGGACACTGGTTCCACAGAAGGTGCTGAAAGGAATACAGAAATCTATATGAGGTCTTTAAACTAATTACCTCTTCCTGAGCTCTCCATTTGCAAACCCATCATTGGCTGTGGCTCCATGCCAGCTTACAAGTTCTAAGGCACAGGTGGTGAACACAAGGCCTCCTGGCCGAATCCAGCTCTCCGCCTTGTTTTATCCGGCCTGGCACCTTGTTTCTATCTGGCAGCATTGCCGAGCTCTCACTTAACTGTAAGGAGTGGTTACATTTTATACTGTCCTAAAATTACATTTGGCCCTTTGAAGGCAACTGCGAGGCAACTGCAACGCTGATATGGCCCCGGGTGAAAATGAGTCACACCCCTGCTCTAAGGCTAATGGATACTTGAATACAGGCTAAGAAGCAATTTTGTTGAATGGAAGTAGTCTGTTGTGAAAAATGCAGAGAGATGGCTCTGAAATCAGTGAAATAATGTTTGCTATAATAAGTAATAGAGCCCTGGCTGGTGTGGCTCAGTGGATTGAGTGCCAGCCTGCAGGCCAAAGGGTTGCTGCTTCGATTCCCAGTCAGGGCATGTACCTGGGCTTGTTATACCCAGCTAGGAAAATTATAGCTAGGGCATTACCCAACCCTAAATCTGCAGTTCCTGGAACAGGGTAATGAACAAACATCCGGGAACAATTGGGTTTAAAATTCTAGCCAAATAAGGTAACTAACCCGGGCCGCCAGAAAGTGCCCGCCAGCAGCAGCACCCACCAATCAGGGACCCTCGCTGTTTTTAAATAAGCCAGTAGCTAACCGCCACCTCTGCTTCTGTGTGCCTTTGCTTGCTCGCTAGAAAATATAAATACCCAGTAGTCTGTAAGCCAGGCGCGACTTCCATTTTGTAGCTCTGAGTAGCTACGTGACTCCGGTCACAGTTGGGGAAGTTCGCCCCTGTGCAGGAAAATCTTTGGCCATTAAAATTTTTATCAATTCGGTTCCGCACTCCGAGAGTGTGTATTTACCCGCCGATCCTCTACAACAGGCTGTGGGCCAGGTCCTCAGTAGAGGGCACACAAGAGGCAACCACACATCAATGTTTCTCTCCCCCTTCCCCTCTCTAAAAATAAATCTTAAAAAAAAATTAGTAATAAAAAACGCGATAGATTTCTTTGTAGATTTTAGAAAAATATTTATTGTAGTAAAAATTCACCATAAAATGATGTATGGACATTACTGTTAATAGTAAGACTTACCTCAAATAATAAATCAGCAACCCTGGCTGGCATGGCTCAGTGGACCGAGAGCTGACCTGTGAACCAAAGTGTTGCTGGTTCAATCCCCAGTCTAGGACACATGCCTAGGTTGTGGGCCAGGTCCCTGTTTGGGGGCACATGAGAGGCAACCACCCATTGATGTTTTTCTCCCTCTCTTTCTCTCTCCCTTCCCCTCTCTCTAAAAATAAATAAATAACATCTCTTTAAAATTCTTTTAAAAAGGAATAAGTCAACAAGGACATTTATGATCTTAAATGCAAATACAAATGAGAGAACATTTTTCAAATGCCACCTTAGTGAATGTTTCTTTTTATTGTGGTAAAATATACATAAAATTCACTGTGTTAACAGTTTTGAGAGACAGTTCAGTGGTATCAAGGGCATTCACAGTTTTGTGCAGCTGTCACCATTATCCTTTTCCAGAACTTTTTCATCATCTCAAACATAAACTCTGACCCTGTTAACAATTAACATCCCATTTCTTCCTCCCCCAAGGCCCTGGCAACCTCAGGTGTAATGTCTATGTCCGTGAACTTAATTTCTGTAGGTACCTCATTCAAGTGGAGTCACACAATGCTTGTACTTTTGTGTCTGGCTTAGTTCACTTAGTATAATGTCTTCAAGGTTCATTGATGTTGTAGCAAATATTAGGATTTCACTCCTTTTTAGAGGTGACTGATATTTTATTGTGTATATACACACACTACCTTTTTATCCACTCATCTGTTGAGGGACACAGCAGACTTATCAGAATCATGATAAAAAGTTAGGTTTGGTGGGGGAGTGACTCTGACAGCTGTTTTTCCAAATAAGATCTCAGGATATATGATCTATTTTTTTCAAATTTGTGAATTTAATGATTTGAACAGTCTCAGGAAGTTATGACAACTAAAATGCAACTTTATAGTTAATAAATCACTAGTGCTGAAAGGGGAAAAGTACAAGGTGAATGTGAAGGTAGAAAACATGAGTCTTTCCTAACCTTGAGCTTCAGCACATTAAAGCCAAAACCAATCCCAGGGTTTTGTTTATTCCTGTTTCTTTGTTTGTTTGTTTGTTTGTTTGTTTTCAAATCCAAGAACTGGAAGGTCACACCCCTGTATAAGACTTTGCTTCCTAACAAGCACTCAGACATTCCTAACACCAGGAGGCTGAGATGGAGCTGCTGGGAATTATTACACCTGTTCTTGCTATTTGTGTCATTTGCCTGGTTTTCCTTTTGGGGAGGAAAAAAAGTCGCAAAGGAGAGAGGCTCCCCCCGGGCCCAACTCCCCTTCCCATCCTTGGGAATCTGATGCAACTGAACTTGAAGAACATCCCTGAGTCTCTCTGCAAGGTAAGAGGGGTTTCATTCTGGAGCTGGCCATCTCTGCAGGAGGGGGTTACTTTCCAGCCCTGCATCTGAGGGTGCTGTGGGCTGGCTGGCTTACCTCAGTCTTCTTACTGTGACTCACCACTGAGGTTGCATTTTAGAGTATGAGAAAATTCTGGAATCAGAACGTACTTTAACTGAAAGGTTTCCAATCCCCTTAGCATAGAACACTTACCAAAAGGCAAGCCCAGCAAGTGTAAAAACGTGTGAAGTGTCCTTCTGTGTGGCTATTATTATTACTACTTTATACGAGATGATCTATGGGATACATTGTGACCTTCGTTCCCTCCCCAACATCTTGCTCTGATATAACCCAGCTCTGCTGTCCTGATGGACATTCATTTCTTTGCAAATATGAGAAATTACCACCAGGAATGCATTGTCCAAAGGCATATTCTTCATAGCAACCTAGGTATCCATCAATAGATAAATACAGAAAATCTATTTATAGATAGATAAATATCACCTGTCTATATACCTGCCCATTCTCTCTCACACACTGGAATGTTATTTAGCCTTAAAAAAAAAAAAAAAAAAGAAGGAAATTCTCCTATTTGTAACATGGATGAATCTGGAAGACATTACCCTAACTAATAAAAGCCTGACACAGACAGACAAATACTGCGTGATCTCACATACATGTGGAATCTAAAGTAGTCCACCTTACAGAAGTAGGAAGTAGAATGGTGTTCAAAAGCCATGCCGCAAGTGTTTGGCTATTTTAATATTCTGTTTTTCCTCTCAGAACAATGCTACCACGAATATATAGTTTTCTTCCTTTTTTACACCTGCTTAGCAAGCTCCCCTCCAAGCCCTTGTCCTGGCTGCTCCCTTCTCATCTTTAGTTGAAACTTAAATCTTATCTCCTCATACATTGCTGACCTCTCTGCTTTGTTGTTTTCCTGTGGTCATCCAACACAGCACGCTCTTTATCACTTCCGTGGAGTTGTGCTAATTTGTACTGCAAATGCAGTTTGTTTGGCTGTTTGCTGCCTGTCGCCATCACTAGCCTCTAAGTTCTGGGGGGGTGCTGCTGGACTGAGCAGGTCTGACACAGCACAAGTGCTTAGTAAACGTCCACTTAATGGTTGCCTATTATAAACGAAGGAAAGACTAAATCCATGGCTATACCCCAGGTTAAATTTCTCAAGTGGCAAGGACGGGATAAAGGCTAAGCTACACGTAAATTATTACTCAAGTTCTACCCAAGCCTCCAGTGGAGAGATTTCACAATTGCACTGACACAGCTGCTTGAATCTCTTTTCCAGTTGGCCCAAGAGTATGGCCCTGTTTACACAGTATACTTTGGACTCAAGCCCACTGTGGTCTTACATGGATATGAGGCGGTGAAGGAAGCTCTGATTGATCAGGGTGGTGAATTCCTTGGCAGAGGAACATTTCCAATTATTTCAGATGCCCAAAATGGACATGGTATGTTCCAAATCAAAATATGGGTTAACTTAACAAATATAGGACTAGCTTAATAAATGTCTGTTCTGTACCAAGCAACTGATCAGATGCTACAGTACTGCAGTGTAATTTTGATGCTATCACCCAGAGTTAGTGCAGACTCCATAGGTTAAATGTGTCACCCCCAACAGCACTGCCCTTACGTCAGTTGCCAGCCCTAAGTCCATGTGTTTCCAGGTCATCCATACTTCTTGCCAACTGGAGAAATATTCAGGGGGTTCCTGTGGCCCCCTCAGGTTTAATAATTGGTAGAATTATTTGCAAAACTCAGGAAGGAAAGTGCTAACTTACAATGATAGTTTTATTATATAAAAGATGCAAATGAAGAGACACAGAGGGCAAGGTTTGAGAAGATCCCAAATGCGAGCTTCTGTATCCTCTCCTGGGGAATCAGAATGTGTTATTCTCTTGGTGCATTAACATGCTCATCAACCAGGAAGCTCACCTGAGCTTTGGTGTTGAGTTACTCTATGGGCATGATGCATTGAGTCATTGACCATATGAGTGAGCTCCATCTATTGTTCCCTCTTATCCCTGAAAGGTGAGAAATCAGTTGATATCCTTTGGCTCAAAGCCCCAACCTTCTAAATCCATATTTGGTCTTTCTGGCATAGCCAGACCTCTCTTTAAACCATCTAGGGTCCCACCACAAGTCACCTCATTGTCATAAACTCAGGTGAGGTTCCAGGGTCTCACCCTGAATAACAAAGACTCTTCTAATACTTGGGAAATTCCAAGGATTTATAAGTTCCCTCCCATGAACCAAGGACCAGACACATTCTTCTATTATATAACAGATGCTCTGATAGCTCTATTGAGATGAACACCAAAAACAGTCCAGCTCTGGTCGGTGTGACTCAGTTGGTTGGAGCATCATCCATAACTGAAAGGATGCAGGTTTGATGCCCGGTCAGGGCACTTACCTAGGTTGCAGGTTTGATCTGTACTCCCTGGTCCCGGTGCCTATGGGAGGCAATCACTGATGCTTCTCTCTTGCATCAGTATGTCTCTCTCTCCCCCTCCTCCCTCTAGAAACAATGAAAAAATATCCTCAGGTGAGGATTGATAAAAAAAACAACAACAACAGAGTCCAAGTTCTTTATAAGGTAAATATGCAAATATGATGGCGATAAAAGCAATCTGGGAAACTTATTTCAAAAGTTTTCCCCCAGAAGTCGTAGGATTTTTAGGGAACTGGGGAAACTATTCCTGGGGTGTTGTTTCACACATTGCAAAGGCTGCAGCAACAATGAACAAATGACTAGGTATAGAAATTATGAATTTTCCATCACAGGCTGGTTTGGTGGGGGACGAGGGGTGTCAGGTAGGTAGCACTCAGGGAGCCTAGTCAGGCTGTAGGTCTTCACTTGGACGATAGGCTCATAGATGTTGTCTAACAGATAATTTTTTTCTTTTTTAAATACATCTTATTGATTACGCTATTATAATTATCCCATTTTTTCTCCCCTTTATTCCCCTCTTTCCTGCACCCCACCCCCACCAGCATTCCCCCACCTTAGTTCATGTCCATGGGTCATACATATGAGTTATTTGGCTTCTCCATTTCCTATATTCTTAACTTCCCTTGCTCTACTTTGTACCTACCATTTATGCTTCTTATTTCCTATACCTTTCCCCCCATTTTCCCCCTTTCCCCTTATTATTGATAACATTCCCTGTGATCTCCATTTCTGTGTTTCTGTTCCTGTTCTGGATGTTTGCTTAGTAAGTTTTTGTTTTTTAGGTTTGGTTGTTGATAGTTGTGAGTTTGTTGTCATTTTACTGTAGTTTTGATCATCTTCTTTTTCTTAGGTAAATCCCTTTAACATTTCATAGAATAAGGGCTTGGTGATGATGAACTCCTTTAACTTGACTTTATCTGGGAAGCACATTATCTGCCCTTACATTCTAAATGATAGCTTTGCTGAATAAAGGAATCTTGGATGGAAGTCCTTGCCTTTCATGACTTGGAATACTTCTTTCCAGCCCCTTCTTGCCTGTAAGGTTTCTTTTGAGAAATCAGCTGACAGTCTTATGGGAACTCCTTTGTAGGTAACTGTCTCCTTTCCTGTTGCTTCTTTTAAGATTCTATCCTTCATTTTTTTAAAGATTTTATTTATTTATCTTTAGAGGGGAAGGGAAGGAGAGAAGGAGAGAAATATCAATGTATGATTGCGTTTCATGAGTCCTCTGCTGGGAACTGGCTTGCAACCCAGGCATGTGCCCTGGCTGGGAATCGAACCGCAATCATGTGGTTCGAAGGCCTGAGCTCAGTCCACTGAGCTACACCAGCCAGGGCTTCTCTCGTTCATTTTAATCTTGGCTAATGTAATCTTGGCTAATGTGCCTTAGTGTGTGCTTCCTTGGGTCCAACTACTTTGGGACTCTCTGAGCTTCCTGGACTTTTTGGAAGTCTCTTTCCTTTGCCAGATTGGGGAAGTTCTCCTTCATTATTTGTTCAAGTAAGTTTTTGATTTCTTGCTCTTCCTCTTCTCCTTCTGGGACCCCTATGATTCAGATGTTGGAACATTTAAAGTTATCCCAGAGGTTCCTAAATCTCTCCTCATGTTTTTGAATTCTTGTTTCTTCATTGTGTTCTGGTTGAATGTTTATTTCTTCCTTCTAGTCCAAAGCATTGATTTGAGTCCTGGTTTCCTTCTCATCACTGTTGCTTCCCTGTACATTTTCCTTGATTTCACTTTTCATAGCCTTCACTTTTTCCTCTATTTTGCGAGCATACTCAACCATTTCTGTGAGCATCCTGATTACTAGTGTTTTGAACTGTGCATTTGACAGGTTGGCTATATCTTCATCATTTAGTTGTATTTTTGGAGCTTTTATCTGTTCTTTCATTTGGGCCATATCTTTTTGTCCGAGTTCACCTGTTGCATAGTGAGGTGCAGAGCCTTAGGTATTCACCAGGGTGGAGCAGCCACGTCACTGTATTTTGAAGCTCTATGTGGGGGAGGGACCTGAGAGGGAACACTGCTCCTTGCTCAGCTCTTGGTCAGCTTTCAGTCACTTCCTCCACTACCCACAAGCAAATTGGGCCCTTCTGGTGTAATTCCTGGTTGGGTAGGTTTGTGTACATTCTAGGACCCTGTGAGTCTCTCCAGTGAACTCTCCTGTGAGGCTGGAAGTTTCTCCTGCTGCCACCTCAACCCCCACAGGTGTTTTCAGTCAGAGGTTTTGAGGTGTTATTTCTCCACACTGGAACCCTGGGTTGCAAGGTCTGTCTCACTCCCCAGTTGTTTCTCCCAGTTTATCCACACGCGAGTGTAGGACTGCCCAGTCTGCCAGCCACCACCTTGCCCACCCAGGTCCTCCAGCTGCCACCTTGCCATGTGTCCTCTCCACCTGGATGCCTATTTCCACCCCTCCTACTGGGTTAATATTTCTTCTTTAACTCCTTGGTTGTCAGACTTCCATATAGTTTGATTTTCTGGCAGTTCTGGGTTTTGTTTTGTTTTGTTTTTTTAATTTGTTGTCATCCTTCTTTTGTTGTGCAGGGAGGCAAGGTATATCTACCTACTCCTCCAGCTTGGCTAGAAGCCAATTTATTTTTTTATTATGTTTCAGAACTTAGGTATGGGTTACATACATTGCTTTACAGATATGAAGAATTGCGCGCACACACACACACACACACACACACACACACACACACAAACTACTTCAGAGAGACTAAAAGTCTCCTCCAAACCACTTAAAATTGTAAAATTCCAAGTCCCAGGGAAATAGGAACTTAATTCTGTTAAAGAACAAAATTCAACTGAGTAAATTTGAATAAATAATTGGCTCTGTGAAGTGACTCACGAATCAGGCAGCATCCCTTCTAGCAACTAGAAGAACCTCTGAGGAGTTGTGCAAAATGGAAGGTTTCACAGGTACAAGGGTATGGCAGGGGAGTTATTAGCAAAAGGAAAGAATTATTTTCAGGCCAGATCCTCCAGCTTTAGGGAAAAGAGAATAGCAGGAATTTTGTCATGAGGATTACATTGCTGGTGTAAGTCCAGATTAATTGGTTTAAAATTTCACACTTGGAAGAGGCTGACAGGTTAGTTAAGTGTTGGTTTGGTGATGTGGCTTAGCAAAAGTGACTCCATTTTGTCCCGTATTTCTTTTATTAAGAATTCCCCCCTTTTGATGAAACTCTGTCTAACTCAGAGATAAGATCAAATTTTAAAGCATTAGCACCACTCTCTGCTCCTGCTCTGTGGTTCTTGAAGATTTTGTTGATCCTGTGCGATATTCACAGGTCATGGCTTTGGGTTCATAATCCTTAAATAAATGATTTTTAAAAAATTGTAGAGAGAAGAGAAGGGAGGGAGAAAGAAAGGGAAGAGAGGGAGAGAAACATCAGTCTGACGTCTCTCGCATGCCCCCAACCAGGGACCTGGGCTGCAACCCAGGCGTGTGCCCTGACCAGGAATCAAACCTGCAAACAAACTGGCAGCCAACGTGGCAAACTTTTGATTCACAGGCCGGCACTCAGTCCACTGAGCTGCACCAGCAAGGGCAAGTATTTGTTTTCTCTTTGATGTTCCAGTCTTAGGGAGATCATTTGCTTGATGATTAACAGCAGCAAACATGTCATTGACTTTTGAGTGTGTACAACATGCTGATGGAACTGATGGTGCGTTAAGAGCAATAGGAAATTCAGAATAAGTAACTGGCTTTGTACAGAAGAAGAAATTAAAAAGCATTGGTATGGAACATTGGGCTCCTGTGCTTCTTTGTTTCTTCTTATTCAGAGGAGGCTAACATTCACTGTATTAAGTTCGCAGGAGAATAGAATCATAAACCCCATATTGATTCACTTTGCTTATCTTCTTGCAGAAAAAAATCACAGCTAGAACTCAACCACAAGTTAGAGGAATCTGAAGTGTAAAAACAGGCCCTCAGGAAAGGGGTCTGTGGGAACACAGGCCACATTTGACCATCTTTAACGAAACCAGACAGAGGGCTTCCCACACTTCAGGATATTTTCTACTCACCAGTGATTGCCCTCCCTGCCGCGTGCCATCACCTCTGCCCTCGGCTGACCAGAGCATGGGTTTTCTTCTCTTTGTGGCAAATTTTTCACTCACACTCCAAAATAGGTTGTGTTCTTAAGTTGCGATATGTGGAATCCCTGCTAAGGGGCATTGGAAACCTCTCTGGGTGGACACGAGAGAGCAGCTGTGGGGAAAGTCTGACTCCACGATGCAAAATACTTTCCCGCTCTGTTTCTTTTCCTAGGAATCCTTTTCAGTAACGGAGAGACATGGAAGGAAATGCGGCGCTTCTCCCTCATGACCCTGAGGAACTTCGGGATGGGGAAGAGGACCATTGAGGAGAAGATCCGGGAGGAAGCCCAGTGGCTGGTGGAGGAGCTCAGGAAAACCAAGGGTGATGGCCAGTGATCATCCCTTTAGGGGCAAGGGGACTTCCTACACACACCATCCCCAGTCCAAGCTCCTCTTTTGGCAATCACTCTGGTTCATGACCTGCTCTGTTAGTTAGTCAGGGAGCTGGCAAGGAAAAAGGGGGTGGGAAGGAAATGATGCTATATTTAGGACTCTCAAATCCTTTAGTTTGCACTCATTTCTCAACTTTAGCACTTGCTAGGTATGTAAATTCGGCCAAGTTTTTTAACTTCTCTAAGATGCAGTTTCCACAGCTGAAAAATGGAGCTAAAAATCAAGCCTCAGAAAGAGAGTTAGCTAATATAGTTTGCAAGACAGTCGCACAGTATTCAGTATGTAGTAAATGTTCCATAATACCACCCGTTGCTCTTATGACTACTAAGTATTCATATCAATAAAATTGATATTACTAGTAGCATAGTGTATGCTATCTAGTACCAGTATTATTAGAAGGTGGTCCCATCTTAATTTGGGGAAAGGTTAGAGGAAATACATTCTGTGAATAAATCTGAGCAGGAAGAAGGTACCGTTATTGATGAAAGTTCTAAATGTTAAGTTACTCATTTCTCACCTAAGCTCATCCTGTTGATCCCTCCTTCATCTTCTCGAGTGCTGCCTGCAACGTGATCTGCTCCATCCTCTTCAGGGAGCGTTTTGAGTACCACGATGAGAAGTTCCTTTTCCTGATGAACTTGTTAAATGCAAATTTTAGGCAAATAAACTCTCCATGGATCCAGGTAAGGCTCAGGCGGCATCCGCTCTCGCTGTAGATGGACTGGACCCACTGACAGCTTGCAGGCTGGGTGGAGGGACACTTCAGGAACAGAGTGCGATGTCAGCATTCATTGTCACCTTCCCTTCCATGCGTGTGGAGTGAATGAGTGCAATGACAGCTACCCCAGCATCATTGGAAGGTTGCCCTCTGCTTGCCTCTCGGGGTCTACTCACGCAAAAGAAGACAAAACATTCCTGATGGCCTACGTCTCTTTTAAGGCCCCTATGCCCATGTTCCACCGTATGACTGTGGGGTTGGCCAAAGCTGGGATGAGCAAGGAGATGGGCAGGGGCCGCTCACCTGTACATGATGGTTGTCCTCCCTTCTTTTCCACTTGGAAATTGGAGGAAGGGATTCTGCCTGGCCAAGCCACACACAGAAAGTCAGGCACTCTATTCAGAAACTCTGGTTCCTCTTTACAAACTGAATTTCCATTGTATTCTGCACCACTCTCCCATTTTTAGATTTACAATCTGTGGCCAAAACTCATGAAGCATCTCCCTGGAGAGCACAAATCATTTTTAAAAAGGGCTAAAGCCATTAAACATTTCATTCTGCAAAAAGTGAAGGAGCATCAAGAATCCCTGGATCAGAGTAACCCTCAAGATTATATCGATTGTTTCCTCATCAAGATGGAGCAGGTACGGTATACACTGTCTCTCCCCAGCACCCCTGTCTCGTCCTGGCACGGGAGTGCGTGAGCGCACAGTCACACCATGGACGTACTTCTTGATATTTTGATTTTTTAGGGCAATGAAGTAGGTACACTATTATCATTACTAATAGAATTTCAGAATTGTCCAAAGCTCTCTTTTTCCTTTGTATTTCTATTTAGTTCCTACACTTGGACATTAGCATTTAAAAGTTCTCTACACATATTTAGGATGAGCTCCATGATAGACACACATACATATAAGTGCATATTTCTGAGCATATATTTACTTTGGGGTGGATAAAACACGCATGTGTTTTTTCTACACATCCTTTAGACACACATAGTCAGCCTTTTTTTGCCACAGTGCTTCCCACACAGTCTGTCGTAGACTCCTACATTATAGAAAATGGATTATGTTTTCTCATAGAAACAATTTTATTATTTGAAATGGGTGGTGGCTAAAGATTCTAAAGCAAAGATGTTATACATTAACCATTAGTGGTATTAAAAATATTGAATAGCAACTACTCATACGGCCATTAATCCTTGGACTGTCCAATAGAATACTGGTGTGGCTGTCCATGAACACATCAGCAGAGAAACAGCCAAGGTGGTGACCAGCACTGTATTGTTTTTTTAAAAAAAAAGACATTTCATGTATAAACACATACAACAACTGAAAATGTTAAAATTATCCTTTGAGCCCTATAAAACTAATAGCCTGGTTTCCTTAGAAAACATGCTCAAGAAAGGTGTGCTGATGCCCCTGAGGCAGAAGCAGCATGGGAATTCGAGGTGTAGAAACAGCAGGCGGACCATTCATACAGGGCAGGCATGCTGTCAGTTAGTTTACTTTTTATCCTAAAGACGCAATAAAAAGTGTTTTCACTGCGGTTCACGATGAAAATTGTGTAAGGAATGATCACATTTGTGATGTGAAGGACCTACTGGAGGAGTCAACAGTAGATGCAGAGAGACCAGTTGTCCAAGGGTCAGTTTCCTAGTAGCACAGCTTGAAATAGGGATTTATATGGAAGTGATTTATTAAAGGAATTCGTTTTAGAGAGACTTATATGTGAATGAGAGAAACAGGAAGGGAATAGAAAAAAGTCAAACATTGTTTCCTATTAAGTGTAGTTGCTGCCAGATCCTACAGGGGGTGGTAGAGTATAAGTCACAGTGCAGAGTTTGTCAGACCGTGAGGGGAGGGAGCTGGGCTTTTGTACCCCTGCACCCATTAGTCACTGGCTACAGGAAGCCCCAAGTCTTGTTTAGGCTGATTAACTTGGCGACCTGCATTCCAACCAACAGTGCAGGAGGGATGCATTTTCTCCATATCCTAGCTGACACTTGTTTGTTCATTTATTGATGGCATCATTCTGACATGTGTGAGATGGTATCTCATTGTGGTTTTAATTTACATTTCTCTGATGATTTAGTGATATTGAGCATCTTTTCACAGGTCTATTGACCATCTGCATGTCCTCTGTCGAAAAGTGTCTATTCAGGTCTTTTGCCCATTTTTTAAAATGGATTGTATGTTTTTTTGGTGTTGAATTTTATAAGTTCTTTATACATTTTGGATATTAACTCCAGATCAGAAACATCAGCGAATACGTTCTGCCATTCAGTGGGTTGTCTTATTTATTTTGTTGATGGTTTCCTTCACCGTGCAAAAACTTTTAAATTCTTTTTTATTTTTTAATATATTTTATTGATTATGCTATTATAGGTATTCCATTTTCACCACTTAATTCCCCTCCATGCTGCATACCCCCTCCCAGCCACATTCCCCCTCTCCCTTAGTTCATGCCCATGGGTTGTACATATAAGTTCTTTGGCTTCTACATTTCCTATACTAATCTTAACCTCCCCCTGTCTATTTTAACCTACCATTTATGCTACTTATTCCCTGTACTTTTTCCCCCATTTTCCCCCCTTCCCCACTGATAACCCCCCATGTGATCTCCATTTCTATGATTCTGTTCCTGTTGTACTTGTTTGCTTAGTTCATTTTGTTTTTGTTTTTGTTTTTTTAGGTTCAGTTGTTGATATTTGTGTGTTTATTGTCATTTTACTGTTCATATTGTTATCTTTTTTTTATATAAGTCCCTTTAACATTTCATACAATAAGGGCTTGGTGATGATGAACTTCTTTAACTTGACCTTATTTGGGGAGCATTTTATCTGCCCTTCCATTCTAAGTGATAGCTTTGCTGAATAAAGGAATCTTGGATGGAGATCCTTGCCTTTCATGACTTGGAATACTTCTTTCCAGCCCCTTCCTGCCTGTAAGGTTTCTTTTGAGAAATCAGCTGACAGCCTGATGGGAACTCCTTTGTAGGCAACTGTCTCCTTTCCTGTTGCTTCTTTTAAGATTCTCTCCTTCATTTTAATCTTGGCTAATGTAATTATGATGTGCCTTAGTGTGTGCTTCCTTGGGTCCAACTACTTTGGGACTCTCTGAGCTTCCTGGACTTTTTGGAAGTCTCTTTCCTTTGCCAGATTGGGGAAGTTCTCCTTCATTATTTGTTCAAGTAAGTTTTTGATTTCTTGCTCTTCCTCTTCTCCTTCTGGCACCCCTATGATTCAGATGTTGGAACATTTAAAGTTATCCCAGAGGTTCCTAAACCTCTCCTCATGTTTTTGAATTCTTGTTTCTTCATTGTGTTCTGGTTGAATGTTTATTTCTTCCTTCTAGTCCAAACCATTGATTTGAGTCCTGGTTTCCTTCTCATCACTGTTGCTTCCCTGTACATTTTCCTTGATTTCACTTTTCATAGCCTTCACTTTTTCCTCTATTTTGCGAGCATACTCAACTATTTCTGTGAGCATCCTGATTACTAGTGTTTTGAACTGTGCATCTGATAGGTTGGCTCTATCTTCATCATTTAGTTGTATTTTTGGAGCTTTTATTTGTTCTTTCATTTGGGCCATATCTTTTTGTCCGAGCTCACCTGTTGCATAGTGAGGTGCAGAGCCTTAGGTATTCACCAGGGTGGAGCAGCCACGTCACTGTATTTTGAAGCTCTATGTGGGGGAGGGACCTGAGAGGGAACACTGCTCCTTGCTCAGCTCTTGGTCAGCTTTCAGTCACTTCCTCCACTACCCACAAGCAAATTGGGCCCTTCTGGTGTAATTCCTGGTTGGGTAGGTTTGTGTACATTCTAGGACCCTGTGAGTCTCTCCAGTGAACTCTCCTGTGAGGCTGGAAGTTTCTCCTGCTGCCACCTCAACCCCCACAGGTGTTTTCAGTCAGAGGCTTTGAGACTTTATTTCCCCACGCTGGAACACTGGTTTGCGTGGTCTGTTTTGCTCCCAGTTGTTCCTCCCAGTTTATGTGAACTCAAAGGTGGGACCACCTGGTCTACCAGCTGCCACCTTGCCATGTGGCCTCTCCACCTGGCTGCCTGTTTCCACCCCTCCTACTGGTCTGGGTGAATGTTTCTTTTTTAATTCCTAAGTTGTTGGACCTCCACGCAGTTCAGTTTTCTGTCAGTTCTGGTTGTATTTTGCTTTTTAAATTTGTTGTTGTCCCTCTTTTGGTTGTGTGAGGAGGCACGGTGTGTCTGCCTAGGCCTGCATCTTGGCCATGGTCTGCAATGCAAAATCTTTTTAGCTGGATGTAATCCCACTGGTTTTGTTTTTCTTGTTTTCCTTGCCTGGGGGGATATATCAGAAAAAACAGTGCTACAAGTAATGTCTGAGATTCTACTGGCTATGTTTTCTTCTAGGAATTTTATGGTTTTGTGTCTCCGACTTAAGTCATTAATCCATTTTGAATTTATTGTAGTGTATGGCATTAGAGGGTGGTCTAGTTCCCTTTTTCTGCACATATCTGTCCAATTTTTCCAACACCATGTATTGAATAAACTGTCTTTAGACCATTGTATGTGCTTGCTTCCTCTGTCAAATATTAATTGACTATAAAGGTGTGGATTTTTTTTTCTGGGCTCTCTTTTCTGTTCCATTGATCCATGTGTCTGTTTTTTATGCCAGTGCCATGCTGTTTTGATTACTGTGGCCTTATAGTATAGTTTGATATTAGGTGGTGTGATTCCTCCAACCTTGTTCTTCTTTCTCAAGATTACTGTTGCTATTTGACAGCCTTTTGTGGTTTGAGAGAGTTATTTTAAATGCTTAATATTTTTAATTCTAGGTAAAGACAATAAGGGCTATAGGTAGGAAGTGACAATGTACCTAAAAATTTGGATTTCCACTTGCAGAAATAATTCCATTTTAAAATAAATAGGAGAGACATAATATAAAGAAATTGAGTAAAGAAAAACTTGGTTTAGAGCTTTAAAAATGAAGTGATTCTTAAAAACAAGTGTCCCAATACTTTCCCAAAATTTAAGAACCACTAGACAAGGAACATATGTGAAGGACCTATGGACTTGGACAAAGGGTGGGGACTGACTGTGGGAGCTGGGCAGGGAGTAGGGGTAGAGGTGGGCCAGGCAGGGGAGAGCAACCAGGGAAAAACTGGGACTAGTGTAGTAGAAAAACAATAAATGAAAATAAAATAAAAGAACCCAAAAGTATTAAAAGTCCCTGAAGAACAATTAGCAGTGTACATAATTTAAATATAATAAAATTATTTAAATATATAGAAATATAAAAATTGTATTAATTAGTATAATAGCATTAAATGTTGTTTTATTAAACAAATGCTTAGTGCCCACTTTTATGTCAGGTTTGGGGATACCTCAGCAAAGGAGACTTCCCTGGCTGAGGAGGCTCAGTGGATTGAGTGCCAGCCTGTGAACCAAAGGGTCATCAGTTCGATTCCCAGTCAGGGCATATACCTGGGTTGCACGCCAGGTCCGTGGTTGGGGACATGGGAAAAGCAGCCAATTGAAGATATTTGTCTTCCTCTCTTTCTCTCTTTTTTCTCTTCTCTCTAAAAATAAATAATAATAAAAAAGACAATCCCCATTATTTTTGATAGAAGAATTTTAAAATAAAAAGCTCACTTGCTATTTTCAAGTGCTGGATCAATTTATTTTCTAAACACTCTGTAGATCTCATGTAAAAACTTACAAGTAAAAATGCCCTACAAGTACAGACTTCATCTTAGAAACACCATTATAATGACGCATGTCATGTGTGAGAGGTGGGGCGAGAGGCGTACGCAGTTTACATGAAGGAAACAGGCCAGTTATGAACCAGTGGTCTCTCTCCGCACTTGCAGAGAGTTTATCATCTGGTCTTTCTCATTAAATTTAGTATAAGGAGATATTATTCACTGAGTATGTGTATATACATTGTTCCAAGAGCTTCCACCTGTTAACCTTTTCATCCTTGACTGTGGGGTGTGTTCTATTTTTCACCCCCATTTCACGGAAGGTGAAACTGAGTTGAGAGTAAAGTAACTTGCCAAGGGCACACATCTGTTTTTTGACTAACCTGGGATTGAACCTAGGAGTTTAAATTTCATGACTGACTGTTCTTTTTCAACCCACTATACTACAGTGCCCAGAATGAAGCCTGTTACTAGTCAAGGGGTGTGACTGTGAAGCTCTGATAGGCTGTTGCCTTGTTTTTAACCCACGTAGCTTTCAACTCTACCGTGTACAGGAAAAACAGAACCCAACATCTGAGTTTCACTTGGAGAATCTGGCAGTCTGCGGATCAAACTTGTTTGCGGGAGGAACAGAGACAACCATGTATACCCTGAGATACAGTGTCCTGCTCCTAATGAGACACCCAGAGGTGCAAGGTACTGCAATGTTTTAGTGACCAAGTGACAAATGAGGTGCAGGCACCAGACGAGGGTGGAAAGACCCTGCTTTCAGTGACTGCTTCCTTTCTCTGGTCTGCCTTTCCTAGCATCATGCAAAGTGCCATCTGTGTGGTTTTGCTTTTGCACATCAGAATTCTATCGATTGATGCTGATTAGGAAGAAACACCTTTAGGGACAGGAAGGCTGTTGTTTAAGTCAAAAACAGAGGTGCTCTGAATCCCGACTCTTCTACATGAGGTGTAATGCCCAAGAGTGAGCCTTGTTTAGATGAGGGGTCCAAGGGTCACCGTGCTGAATTCTTATCCTAGGCCTGTCTGTTCCTAGCGGTGTGACCTCAGACAAGTTATTTCATCTTTCAGGTCTCTGTTTGTCCATCTTAAAAATGGACCAGATTCTCCAAAGGGAATTTTTAGGTGTGATATACTTCAACATTCAAAAGTGAAATTGTAGTAGCTCGATTTTTTCAAGCACATTCTCAGAGTACAGGCCTTACAAAGCCAGTGTTTATACTGCTCAACATAATGGTTTTACCATTCCCACAAAACATCTAGAAAACTGGATGAAGGTCACAAAGGAGGTGTCCCTGCAAAAGTGGGGATTAAAAATTTTCCCTCTACAGCTGCTTTGGCAGGAATCATGGAATAAGCCATAATCCCCACCGCAAAGGTGCCACCTGACCTATGCTTGAGAGCAAACCAATGAAGCCAGGAGGCTGAGAACATAGTTAACCCAGCCTTTCTGTTTCCTTCAGCAAAATCTCTGGTATTTACAGGGAAATAGAAAATAAAAATTCCATCAAGTGCAGAGCAGTGGGCTGTTGAGCAGAATCTCTTTGACCTTGGCAGCCTTTTATAGGCCGATTTCTGTTGCACATTGCAAGTCTTTTCCAGGTGTCCAGGGAACATGTCTCTGGAGTAACATTCATGATTCATGTCTCTGCAGCCAAAGTTCATGAAGAGATCGACCGTGTGATTGGACACAACCAGAGCCCCTCCATGCAGGACAAGATGAAGATGCCTTACACAGAGGCTGTGTTGCATGAGATACAAAGATACAGCAAACTCTTTCCTTATAGTGTTCCCCATGCTGTGATCCAGGACACGAAATTCAGACAATACATCATCCCCAAGGTCAGATGTGTCTGGGAAAACTGACTGGGATGGAAGGGGCAGCACAATTCTTCCATGGGTCTCTGAGGGGCTTTCACTTCTGTTGCAGGAAGAGATGCACTTGAGCTTGATCCAAGTTGTAACTTTGGATGGAAAGGCCAGAGTCAGGTGGTCTGGGAGGGTCACCTGTCGCCTCTGTAGCCTTGTCTCTGCCTTCCTAGAGTGGGGGAGGCTGACCTGGGGCTTCCCAGGCCCCCTGCCACTCTCACATAGAATGTATTAGGAGAGCAGTGATTTCCAGTAATGAGGACCTTATGGAAACTGAAGCCTTATTTTTCATGATGGATTATAAAAGGGAGAAGTGGGAAATGTGTCTGTAGCTCTCAGGCAATCAAGCCAAGTGCCAGACTTCTTTAACCCAAATTGTCTCCTCCCAGGACTTTACCTACCAGGACAGCTGAGACACTGGTGCCACTGAAGTTAACCTTTGTAGAGCACGTAGCACTTACCAAAACCTTTCCATGCCCATCGGGGAGGCGGTCAGCCTTCTGTTGTGATCAGGGGCTTGGGTTTGACATTTAAGTAGTTCCAGAGGATAGAAGAGGAAGAAAAGGTGTCAAACCTCATCAAAGTCTTTCAAAACAAAATCAAAATACTACAGAACACCACCAGTCTTACTTAAAAGTATCAACACGGAAGTGCATTAGCACACAAGGGCTGGCATCACATTAAAAACACAATGCCACCAACAACAAGAGGGAATGAAGAGCACAGCAGAACTCCCACCAAGGAATCTTGTTTGATAAAATTCACCGCATGAGTAGAATTTAGGAGAAAATCACACAGCAGTCTCATTTGTACAGAGAATATATTTGATCATATCCAATGCTCACTTTTAATGAAAATTTTACTTTCTAATGACAGTTGATATTCAATATTACAGTAGTTTCGGGTGTACAATATGGTAGTTAGACATTTCCATAACTTACACAGCGGTCTCCCGGCACCACACACAGTTGTCACTATGTTACTGACTCTCTTCCCTGCACTGCATCTCATACACCACGGTGTCTACTTTGTGACTGCACTCTGTATTTAGTTTTTAATTTTTTAAACTTTAATAAAATAGAAATAGATAAATAACTCTTTAGCCAGAAAAAAACGTACTTCCCAATCATGTTTATTGATGAGTGACTAAAAGCTTTCCTAATGGCAGGAATAAAGCAAGGCTATCTATTGCCGATAATATTATTCACATAGCATTAGAGAAAAGGAATGAGCTAAAACATTTAAGAGAAAAAAAATCAGTTTTTTAAATGATATAATTGTACCTGGAAAAATACAAGAAAATTAGCTGATACACCATTGCAAAGATATAATTATTCAGTGGTTAGGTACAAATTTATTATTTAAAATATCAATTGCCACTTATATAAAATAAAAACCATTTAAAAAATATAATGAAGATAAGTTTTCATTGATTTAAAACAAAGATAAAATACTTAGGAATAAGCTGAATAATAAATTCAAGATCTATGGAAAGAAAATTTTAAAATATTAATGAAAGAAATAGTGTTTGAATAAATTACAAGACTTATTCTATGTTTGGGTAGAAAAATAGCAGTTATTTCAAAATCAATCTATACATTTATGAGATCTCAATAAAAATAACCAGATTTTGGGGGGAGCTAAATAAACTAGCAAATCATAAATTTGTTATGGAAAATTTAGAGATAAAAATACTCTGAGATAGGTCCTACCAAATGTTAAAAATAGAATATAAAGTCACAGTTAATAAAGCAGTATAATACAGCTTCTTGAAAAGACAGAGCAAATGAATAAAGTTGAGAAATAAACTTAGTTTGACATGAAAAGTTAGTATGTGATAATGACGCCTTCCCTCTAAAGGAAAAATATGGATTATTCCATAGAGGTTAGAAAACTCCCAGGAAGTTGGTAAATAATAATAACAAGTCCCTACCTCACACTTTCTATGAAAATTTATTCTCGGTGCCTCAAATAGATACACATAGAATACTGAACTGTAGAAATACTAGGAATAAAAGCAATAATTTTTCTGAGAATTTCAGAGTTTCAAAAGACTTCTAACATCACCGCCCCCAAAAGGAATAAGGGGGCCATATATTTTTAAATTGATATATTTAGCTATGTGTAAATAGGAAATAGCTGTCTGGAAAATGAAACCAAATCAAAGATAAATGACAAACTGAGAGCAAATTTTGCATGGTTCCTCAGAGCGAAGGACTAATTACTGAAAAGTAAAATGAACCCCTACAGTCATGGTGAACAAACCCCAAAGGGAACAGATGCAGTTCCAAAAAAGGAGCAAAATTAAAATTTGAGTAAAAACAATTGCAAATGGTTTTTAAATGTATAAAAATATACTGACACAATGAAATATGACAAAAATAAATATTATAAAAAATTCTTTTTACTTACCACAGTATTTTGGCAGGATATTAAAAAAATGTAGTCTTGCTAAATTGTAACTTCTATGAAAGGCAAGGGGATGATTTCTATCAAAATTCAAAACACATATGCAATTTAAAGAGCAGTTCCACTAGTAGGGATTTATCCTTTGTGTGTATTTTCTTCAAAATAAGAATATTTATTGAAGCAATATTTGCGATATTTGAAGATTAGAAAATCCCCAAATGTTCATTTATAAAGAACTTAAAAAATTCCCTTATTTCTATAAAGTGGAGTCCCAAGCAAGCTATAGCACACGACTGTGTGAACATAGTGAAGGGTATATATGTGTGTCCTTTTTTTTAATCCATAAGATATCCTCCGAAGCATATATCTTAAAATGGTAACAGTAATTACATAAACAACAAAACAGAACTCTGGCACTTGAGTATAAGAAGAAATTTATTTTCACTTTATACCACTTTGTACATTTTTTGATATTTTATTCCATGTGCATGTATTGCCTACTCCAATAATTCTAAAATTATGTTTAAGGACATACAAAATAAAGTAAAAATGGAGAAAGGAAGCTTTCACTTAAATAAGGGTACTTTATGATCAGATAAAACTTGGTTCAAATTGTAAACATGCCACTTGCTACAAGTACAACCTCAAGTAAGTTGTTTTTCCTCTGTGAATAGTAATTTCCTCATTGATACAAAGAGTATAAAAAGAGAGTCGACTGGATACAGTTGAAGTAAGAATTAAATACAATTCGGGAGCAGCTAACTAAGCACAGTGTTGGGTAATTGTGAAGCATCCAATATAAATGGTAGTTATCAACATTATTTTGACATTTAAGCCTCACAAAAATCTTTCATAAATGAGGAAGAAAGCCTGTGTTTTTATTAGTTCCACCCTATTTTACAAGCGAGGGAAGGGAAATCTCATTCAATAGATTCAAGTTTTCACATCTCACTTTTTTCCAGTCACACCTGAATTTAGGAAAGAACAGGCTGTGAATGAGGATGCTCTTTCTTTTGAGGCCGCAGCTCCTGTCATGGTGTAGCTCATCCTGTAGCTCGAGCCTACACCATGTCGGCCACACGCCCCGTTTGCCAGCAGTGACTAATCACACATGGACCGTAACATCCCTTCTCCCAAAGGGAATCGTCTTATTGCTTTGATAAAATATATTGTATGATAGCATGTGTGAAGTAGCCATAACTCGAGACACTCACTCACCAACCAGGCTCACAGGTGCTCAGTCCTATTCAATTCACTACAGTGAAGAGTGTTGGCCTTGTTTATTCAGCAAGGACAGGCATGCTGACATACCACTCCTCTCTCCTTTCTTGGTTCCAGGGCACCACTGTGTTCCCGTTGTTGTCTTCAGTCTTGTATGATAGCAAGGAGTTCCCCAATCCAGAGAAGTTTGATCCAGGCCACTTTTTGGACGAAAGTGGCAGGTTCAGGAAAACAGATTACTTCGTACCTTTCTCCCTTGGTAATACAAATAAATCCATTCAAACCATACACATGCTCATTTTGAACAACTTTTAGCTTCCGAAAATTCATGGCATAACTTAAGTGATCCGCTGATGATAGCAAAGGTAATCAAGTGAAACTGTTACGGTTCCTGATGTATTGTAACTCTGTGGAGCCATTTAAGTCCATATACCGGTAGGGTTAGGTAAGTAGCCCAGGGACTACTTTGTTGTTAGATGACTGAGTATAATGCCAGTTTTTATCTTTATTTATTTTAATATTAATATATATTTCATTTTGATGCTATTGCAGTTGTCCCAGTTTTCCCCCCTTTGCCCCTCTCTGCCTGGTATTCCCATTCCCTTTAGCAATCCCTACCCCCTTAGTTCATGTCCATGGGTCATGCATGTAAATTCTTTGGCTTCTCCGTTTCCTAGACTGTTCCCAACCTCCCCCTGTCTGTTTTGTACCGACCAATTTGTACTTCTGAATCCCTGCACCTTTCCCCCCTATCCTTCACCTTCCCCTATCCTCTCGCTTCCCTTTCCCCGCCAAAAAACCTCCAAATGATCTCCATATCTATGATTCTGTTTCTGTTCTGCTTGTTTCCTTAATTTCTTTTTACATTCACTTGTTGATAGTTGTGAATTTATTGCCATTCTAATGTGCATTGTTTTGATCTTCTTTTTCTTAAATAAGTCCACTTAACATTTCATGTAATAATGGCTTGGTGATGATGAACTCCTTGAGCTTTACTTTGTCTGGGAAGCACTTTGTCTGCCCTTCCATTCTAAATGAGAGCTTTGCTGGACAGAGTAATCTAGGTTGTAGGTCCTTGCTTCCTGTCATTTTGAATACTTCTTGCCTTCTAGGCTGCAAAGTTTCTTTTGAGAAATCAGCTGATAGTCTTATGGGAACCCCCTTGTAGGTAACTATCTGCTTTTCTCTTGCTGCTTTTAAGATTTTTCTCTTTTTCTTTAGCCTTCAGCATTTTAATTATTATGTGTTTTGGTAATGCCAATTTTCAAAGAAACAAAAGTCAGTCAATCCAATTCAAATGTCCCATGTTACCAAATGACAAAGAGACTGCTTTTGCAAACTCTTTTTCCGTTTATCTCCCCTTTGTAATATTGACTTTTTCAAAACAAATGTACGACTTTTTTTTCCTTCTTTTAAAATTATAAACAATTATAAACTTTCTGATTCTTAGAACCAGAAGCTATCAAAGAGACCTTGGCTACTTCATATTTTTTCTTACCCTCTGAAATATGAGCCCCTCAAACCCTTGCCTGTTTGCAAGAGCTGGTTGGCTCCCGGTTACTATTTTCCATAAGGTCATAAAGACAGCTTAGGATTGGTTAGCATGCATTCTTTTTCCTTATCTCATTCAATCATTTAATAAGCATTTTCAAAAACAACAGTTAAGAGGTTTGGTTTCTAATTTCAATGATAAGTGTTCATCATAAAGGATGGAAAATGTAGAAAAGCAAAATAAAAAGAGAAACAAAAATTATCTGCAATTTCATCCTACAGAGATAATCATTGTTACTGTGATTATACAGTAAATTATTTTACTGTATAACATCAAACGATTGTCTAACTATACATAATAGGTGTATATTTTAAAGTAAAATTTGGGTCATTCTGGACAATCCTTTTTAAAAATATTTTTTTAATTTATTTTTAGAGAGAGGGGAAAGGAGGGAGAAAGAGAGGGAAAGAAACATCAATGTGTGAGAGAAACATTGATCGGCTGCCCCTAGCTTGCCCCCAGCTGGGGACCTGGCCTGCAACCCAGGCCTGTGCCCTGACTGAGCATCAGACTGGCAACCTTTTCGTCTGTAGGCCAGCACTCAATCCACTGAGCCCCAATGACCTATATCGCCTTTGAAAATTTGTCCTCAAATTTTATTTTGTTGTGGTAAAAGACAGACTGTGGTATTAAATAATCTTTCACATAAACGTATTTAGGTTGCATTGTATGATAGATGCAGAAGGATTTATTTCATTGATTCATTATAGATGGATATACAGTTTCTATGTAACTCATCAATATCATAAATAACGATGCAAGTGACATCCCAATAAGTGAATCTCTCATTCCTACAGATAAATCCCCAGAAGGAGAATTACCCAATTAAAGAGTGAAAACTTCTTTAGAGTGTTTAAATGTACACTGACCGGTATCCCTGTGGGGCCCGACAGGCCCCCGGCAGCTGATAAGCATTCCCTTTCTGAGCAGCATTTTCAGTGGCTCTTAGGGGCCTGTTGTTCTAGTTTCTGGTTGTTGTTTATTTGTGTTGGCATGTTGTATCTGAATAGGAGCTACTGTATTTGCATTTGGAGTGAGCTAATGGAAATCTTTTCTCCTTCCAGGAAAACGGGTCTGTATTGGGGAGGGCCTGGCCCGCATGGAGCTGTTCCTCCTCCTCACCACCATTCTGCAGAACTTTTCCCTGAAGCCCCTGGTGGAGCCCAAGGAACTAAAGACCCAGCCTGTTATTTGTAAAATTGTCAGCATTCCTCCACCTTTCAAGCTGTGCTTTATTCCTAGATAAAAGAATTTTTTTCTTTTAACATTTTAAACCAACTGGCTGAGTAGCTCACTTTGTTAGAGAGTTGTCTCCAAAGACAAGGTTGAGGGAGGGTTCAGTCCCTGGGTTGGGCACATATAAAAATCAACCAATGAATGCATAAATAAGTGGAAGAAAACGATATTTCTCTCCTTCTCTTTCCCTTCCTTTCTCCAAAAACCAGTCAATAAATTTTGAATGAAGAAGTTCAAAGTAATCGCTTTTCCCTCTTACTCCCCGAGTTGTGCTCTCACCCCACTAGCCTTTCTCTTCCTTTTAAATACTTCATAGTACAGAAACACTACTCACTGTAACTTGATGAACATTTTGTAAATCTACGAATCCCTTGACAAGAAGGAGCTGGGTCCTAAAAATTCCAAGGAAATAAACAATGGATTTCTCCCCCATACAGTTCTTCATAAACTGTGCTTCAGCCGAACAGGACCGGGCCCACAGAGGACCTTTGTCAGGGACAATCAGCAGTGTAGTTGAGCTTGCACTCCTTCTGTGGCTTTGGAGGTGTGCTGATTTCCTGTAGTTTTTCAAAAGAGAGAAACATAATAGCATGTGTGTATGATTTCTATTTCCAATTGAAAGCACCTGTGTGATTTATGCTACATTCGTAAAATAAATTTTTACTTCCACAATAGTTTGTCTTTGTACATTTGACTTGACTTTAAATCACAAAAATTCTTTCCCTTGAGTTACGGGTTTTCTACGGCTGGGATAAGATAAATAGGCGCAATTAAATGATAATCTCCTATCAAAAATCTCTTTCTGCTCCACACCCTGGATTTGCAACAATTGATTTGCATTGGTCTTGAGGAGCATTCTGGAATAAGAAATCAAACCGTGTCCATGGTTAGGATCCAGACACACATAGCTGCATCTTATTCAGAAAGAGGTGAGAGGCGGGGACGGGGGTTGAAGAGCAGGAAGAGTTGCCAGGGAAGAATGAGCATTCCCAAGAAAACAGTGACCCAGAAAATAGTTGCAACTCACCCGGCAGTGGCCCAGCTGTGAGCAGCAGGAGATATATATATACTGCATGATTCCTTTATATGAAATATTCAGAATAGGCAAATCCATTGAGACAGAAAGTGGGTTAGTCATTTCTTAGGGCTAGAAAGTGAATACAAATGAGCACACGATTTTCTCTGGTTGGGGATGGGGTAATAAAAGTATTCTAAAACTACATCACAGTGATGATTGCACACCTCTTTATATTCTAAAAAAACACTGAACTTTACCAGTAAGTGAATTTTATAGTATGTAAATTATCTCAATAAAGCTGTCCTTTTGTTTTTATTTTTAAATTATATTTTATTAATTATGCAGTTACAGTTGTCCCATTTTTTCCCCTTTGCCCTCCTCCACCCAGCACCCCCTGCTCCCTCAGGCAACCCCTACACTGTTGTCCGTGTCCATGGGTCATGCATGTAAGCTCTTTGGCTACTCCATTTTTTATATTGTACTTTACAACTCCATATCTATTCTGTAATTATCTATTTGCACTTCTTCATCCCCTCACCTTTTCACTCATTTCTCCACATCCGCCTTCCATCTGGCAACTATCAAAATACTCTCAGTTTCTATGATTACCTGTCCTCTTCTTTGCTTAGTTTGTTTTTTAGATTCAGTTTTTGATAGGTATGTGTTTATTACCATTTTATCATTCATAGTTTTGATCCTTTTCTTTTCTTAAATAAGTCCCTTTAACATTTCATATAATAATGGTTTGGTGATGATGAACTCCTCTAGGTTTTTCTTGTCTGGGAAGCTCTGCATCTGCCCTTTGATTCTTTTTTTTAATTAATTTATTTTTTTAAATTGATTATGCTGTTACAGTTGTTCTATTCCCCCCTTCATTCCCCTCCACCCTGCCCCCCCCAACCCCACCATTACCCCCCTTTAGTTTATGTCCATGTGTCTCAAGTCCTTTAGGTTCTATATTTCCCATGCTATTCTTGCCCCCCCCCATCTATTTTCTATCTACTGTCTATGCTACTTATTTTCTGTACCTTCTCTCCCCATCTCCTCCTCCCACTCCCCTGTTGCTAACCCTCCTTGAGATCTTCATTTCTATATTTCCACTCCTGATCTAGCTGTTCTTTTAGTTTGCTTTTGTTTTAGGTGTGGTTGTTAATAACTGTGAGCTTGTTGTTCTTTCACTGTTCATGTTTCTTTAACTTCTTTTTCTTAGATAAGTCCCTTTAACATTTCATATAATAAGGGCTTGGTGATGATGAACTCCTTGAATTTGGTCTTATCTGAGAAGCACCTTATCTGTCCTTCCATTCTAAATGAAAGTTTTGCTGGATAGAGCAATCTTGGTTGTAGGTCTTTAGATTTCATGACTTGGAATATTTCTTTCCAGCCCCTTCTTGCCTGTAAGGTCTCTTTTGAGAAATCTGCTGACAGTCTGATGGGGACTCCTTTGTAGGTGATTGTCCCCTTAGCTCTTGCTGCTTCTAGAATTCTCTCCTTCATTTTAATTTTGGCTAATGTAATTATGATATGCCTTGGTGTGTTTCTTCTTGAGTCCAACTTTTTTGGTACTCTCTGGGCTTCTTGGATTTCTTGGAAGTCTATTTCCTTTGCCAGATTGGGGAAATTTTCTTTTATTATTTGTTCAAATAGTTTTTCCACTGGTGGTTGTGTCTTTCCCCCTTCTGGTACGCCTATAATTCAGATATTGGAGCGTTTAAAGATGTCCTGGAGGTTCCTAAGACTCTCCTCATTTCTTTGAATTCTTGCTCCTTGACTCTTTTCTGTTTGGCCATTATTTGGTTTCTTCTGGTCCACTCCATTGATTTGAGTCCCAGTTTCCTTTTCATCTCTATGGGTTTCCTGTGGAATTCCATTCATTTCCCTTAATTTAGCCTTCATATGTTTCTCTAATTTGTGGCTATAATCAACCAGATCTGTGAGGAAGCTGATGACCAGTGTTTTAAACTGTGCGTCTGAGAGTTTTGCTATTTCTTCGTCACTTAGATTTATCTCTGGGACTTTGAGGTCTCCCTGCGACATTTTTGGTCTGTTCTGGCCCTTTAAATGTGAGAAACTGCGCCTTGGATTCCCAGGTCGCTGGGTTGTGACGCTGTATGTGGGGGCGTGGTCAGAGCGGGGAAATGGCGGCGCCCTCTATCGCCTTGGCCGCCGTCTATCGCCGCCGCGGCCGGTCCAACCACCCACTCCCTCGCTCGCGCGCAATTAGGCAACCGCAGTCAACACGCTGCACCGCCTCCCCACTGTCTCCTCTGCAGTCGCTCACCCGGTGGGTTGCTCGGTCGCTCACTAGGTCCAATCCTGGGTTTGGAACCCGTGCGTCTGGATTCGCGCTTCTGGATTCCGCGCCCGGGTTCGACCGAGCCCTCCCTTGCAGCTCCTCACCAGACGCTGGTTTCGCCCCTTACCGGTCGGGCTGAAGAATTTGTTGTTAGCGGACTTCCGAAAAGTTCAGTTTTCCGTGTTCTGGTTGTGTTTTCTGATGCTAATATTTAGTTGTCCCTAAACTTGGTTGTGTGAGGAGGCACGGCACGTCCACCTAAACCTCCATCTTGGCGGAAGTCTGCCCTTTGATTCTAAATGATAGCTTTGCTGGCTGTCAGTCCCTGCTTTTCATGACTGAATATCTCTTGCCAGTCACTTCTAGCTTGTAAAGTTTCTTTTGAGAAATCAGCCGATAGTCTTATGGGAACTCTCTTATAGGTAATTAATTCCTTTTCTCTTGCTGCTTTTAAGATTCTCTCTTTATCGTTAACATTTGGCATTTTAATTATGATGTGTCTTGGAATAAGCTTCTGTGCATCCATCTTGTTTGGGACTCTCTGTGCTTCCTGGACTTGCATGTCTATTTCTTTCACCAAATTAGGGAAGTTTTCTTTCATTATTTTTTTCAAATTGGTTTTCAATTTCTTGTTCTTTCTCTTCTCCTTCTGGCACCCTTATGATGTGTATATTGGTACACTTGAAGTTGTTCTAGAGGCACCTTACACTATCCTTGTTCTTTTGGATTCTTTTTTCTTCATGTTGTTCTGATTGGTTGGTTTTTGATTCCTTATGTTCCAAATCCTTGATTTGATTCTCAGCTTCATCCACTCTACTGTTGATTTCCTATAAATTCCTCTTTATTTTAATTAATGTATCCTTCATTTATGCCTGGGTCTCTTTTATGCTGTTACAGTTTTCACTAAGTTCCTTTGGCATCCTTATAACCAGTGTTTTGAACTTTGCATCTGGTATATTGCTTATCTCTATTTTGTTTAACTCTTTTTTTTTTTAGTTTTGATCTGTTCTCTCATTTGGGCCATGTTTCTTTGTCTCCTTATTTTGTCAGCCCTCCTGTCCCCCTGTGTCTGTTTCTATGTATTAGTTAGAATTGCTATTACTACTCTCTGTTTTAGTAGGTGTCCTGTAGGGTCCAATGGCACAGCTTCCTCTATCACCTAAGCTGAGTACTTGAGGTATACCCTCTGTGTGGGCTGAGTACACCCTTCTTTTATAGTTGAGACTCTATTGGCAGATCAATGGGAGGGATTTACCCAGGCCAGGCAGCTGCAAGGACTGGCTGGCACTCTGCCCTCTGTGGAGGCTCAGCAGTGCAGGGTCAGGGGATCAGTGCTCTGACATGGTCTGTAGCTGTCCACTGGGTGCGCAGACTCTGGAATTTCATGGTTGGTGCAAGCCAAGGTCAGCCACCACCTTTGTTCTGCCCCAGGTCACCCAGCATGAGCTATAAAACAATCTGCAGATGGCTGCTACTTGTGCTGGGCTTGGAGGATCACAGGTAAAGCCAAGCTGTGATCCAAGGCTGGCTACTTCTGGTGCTGGGCCTGGGTTCAATTAGCAAGAGGTATGGGATGTGGGGGCTCACTGAGGCTGGCTGTGGCTTGTTTGAGAGGATTTAGGAAGATATGAAGCATGAGCTGAGACAAGCCATTCACGTGGAAAAGCCGCTGTTATCAGCTCGGGTGGGTCCATAAGTTCAGTGGGACAGAGCCTCAGGGTATC